TTATGAAAATGGAAGACCCAGCCACGACCCATCTTCAATGCACTTACTGAGGGAAGGAGGTTGTTGGCCAAGATCTCGCGATACATGGCCCCATCCATCCTCCCCTCAATACGGTGCAGTCGTCCTGTCCCCTTTGCAGAATAGCATCCCCAAAGAATGATGTTTCCACCTTCACGGTTGGGATGGTGTTCTTGGGGTTGTACTCATCCTTCTTCTTCCTCCAAACACAGCGAGTGGAGTTTAGACCAAAAAGCTCTATTTTTGTCTCATCAGACCACATGACCTACTCCCATTCCTCCTCTGGATCATCCAGATGGTCATTGGCAAACTTCAGACGGGCCTGGACATGCGCTGGCTTGAGCAGGGGGACCTTGCGTGCGCTGCAGGATTTTAATCCATGACGGCGTAATGTGTTACTAATGGTTTTCTTTGAGACTGTGGTCCCAGCTCTCTTCAGGTCATTGACCAGGTCCTGCCGTGTAGTTCTGGGCTGATCCCTCACCTTCCTCATGATCATTGATGCCCCACGAGGTGAGATCTTGCATGGAGCACCAGACCGAGGGTGATTGACCGTCATCTTGAACTTCTTCCATTTTCTAATAATTGCACCAACAGTTGTTGCCTTCTCACCAAGCAAACAATTTTATCCCTGATGTCCTTACACAGCTCTCTGGTCTTGGCCATTGTGGAGAGGTTGGAGTCTGTTTGATTGAGTGTGTGGACAGGTGTCTTATATACATGTAACAAGTTCAAACAGGTGCAGTTAATACAGGTAATGAGTGGAGAACAGGAGGGCTTCTTAAAGAAAAACTAACAGGTCTGTGAGAGCCGGAATTCTTACTGGTTGGTAGGTGATCAAATACTTATGTCATGCAATAAAATGCAAATTAATTACTTAAAAATCATACAATGTGATTTTCTGGATTTTTGTTTTAGATTTCGTCTAAAACAAAAACAAAAGTGTACCTATGATAAAAATGACAGACCTCTACATGCTTTGTAAGTAGGAAAGCCTGCAAAATCGGCAGTGTATCAAATACTTGTTCTCCCCACTGTACATGTGACAACATACACAATTTTCGGGGACCACTTTTGGCTACTTTCAGAACTGCTGGCTAAAAAGTAATATACAAATCTCTCTAAACTGACCAGGGTTGTAATTACACCTGTCATCTATGTATTTGTGATGAACCATAATTTACAAGCACTGCAGTCTTTTAAATGCTTTAGTCTGGCCTGGAGGTAAGGTTGTTGACCTGATGTAGCCTATGTGCCATTTCTGGTATAAATGCAGCTACCAAACCAAATGTATTGAAGACGGTTTAGGGTAATAATTTGTGTTTAGGTTGTGTAAAGGTTGAATTGGTGTTTAAGGTGAAAGTCAGGCTTTAAAAAAAATAGCTGGTACCATGATCCTAAATAGTCTTGGTTTCGACTTTTCCATTGTCCCTCAAATTGTATTTAGCTTTTGTTTGAGTTTGAGCTTAAGACTATTTAGCCTGCTTATAGTGAAAGTGAATCCCTAATGTTTGCTTTGGTTTCCATGTAGTTTTAAGGTGACAGATTATTGTAGGTGCATGAGAAATAGGCTAAACTAAGGACACAAGCTTTTATCAAATCAAATGTATTTATCACATGCGCCGAATACAACAGGTGTAGACCTTACAGTGAAATGTTTACTTAACAGCTTAACCAACAATGCAGTTTTAAGAAAAATAAGTGTTAAATAAAAAATAGATACGTTAAAAATAACTAATAATTAAAGAGCAGCAGTAAAATAACAGTAGCAAGGCTATATACAGGGGATACCGGTACAGAGTCAATGTGCGGGGGCACAGGTTAGTCGAGGTAATTGAGGTAATATGTACATGTAGGTAGAGTTAAAGTGACTATGCATAGATAATAAACAGAGAGTAGCAGTGGCGGGGGGGACGACGACACAATGCAAATAGTTTGGGTAGCCATTTGATTAGCTGTTCAGGAGTCTTATTGCTTGGGGGTAGAAGCTGTTAAGAAGCCTTTTAGACGTAGACTTGGCGCTCCGGTACCGCTTGCCGTGCGGTAGCAGAGATAACAGTCTATGACTAGGGTGGCAGGAGTCTTTTACCATTTTTAGGGCCTTCCTCTGACACCGCCTGGTATAGAGGTCCTGGATGGCAGGAAGCTTGGCCCCAGTGATGTACTGGGCCGTACGCACTACCCTCTGTAGTGCCTTGCGGTCGGAGGCCGAGCAGATGCCATACCAGGCAGTGATGCAACTAGTCAGGATGCTCTCGATGTTGCAGCTGTAGAACATTTTGAGGATCTGAGGACCCATGCCAAATCTTTTCAGTCTCCTGAGGGGGAATAGGCTTTGTCGTGCCCTCTTCATGACTGTCTTGGTGTGTTTAGACCATGATAGTTTGTTGGTGATGTGGACACCAAGGAACTTGAATCTCTCAACCTGCTCCACTACAGCCCCATCAATGAGAATGAGGGCGTGCTCGGTCCTCTTCTTTTTCCTGTAGTCCACAATCATCTCCTTTGTCTTGATCACGTTGAGGGAGAGGTTGTTATCCTGGCACCACACGGTCAGGTCTCTGACCTCCTCCATATAGGCTGTCTCATCGTTGTCGGTGATCAGGCCTACCACTGTTGTGTTGTTGGCAAACTTAATGATGGTGTTGTAGTCGTTCCTGGCCATGCAGTCATGGGTGAACCGGGCGTACAGGAGGGGACTGAGCATGCACCCCTGAGGGGCCCCCATGTTGAGGATCAGCGTGGCAGATGTGTTGTTACCTACCCTTACCACCTAGGGGCGGCCAGTCAGGAAGTCCAGGATACAGTTGCAGAGGGAGGTGTTTAGTCTCAGGGTCCTTAGCTTAGTGATGAGCTTTGAGGGCACTATGGTGTTGAACGCTGAGCTGTAGTCAATGAATAGCATTCTCACGTAGGTGTTCCTTTTGTCCAGGTGGGAAAGGGCAGTGTGGAGTGCAATAGAGATTACATCATCTGTGGCTCTGTTGAGGCGGTATGCAAATTGGAGTGGGTCTAGGGTTTCTGGGATAATGGTGTTGATGTGAGCCATGACCAGCCTTTCAAAGCACTTAATGGCTACAGACGTGAGTGCTTCGGGTCGGTAGTCATTTAGGCATGTTACCTTAGTGTTCTTGAGCACAGGGACTATGGTGGTCTGCTTGAAACATGTTGGTATTACAGACTCAGTCAGGGACAGGTTGAAAATGTCAGTGAAGACACTTGCCAGTTGGTCAGTGCATGCTCGGAGTACATGTCCTGGTAATCCGTCTGTGAATGTTGACCTGTTTAAAGGTCTTACTCACATCGTCTACAGAGAGCGTGATCACACAGTCGTCCGGAACAGCTGATGCTTTCATGCATGCTTCAGTGTTGCTTGCCTCGAAGCGAGCATAGAAGTAATTTAGCTCATCTGGTACGCTTGTGTCACTGGGCAACTCACGGCTGTGCTTCCCTTTGTAGTCTATAATAGTTTGCAAGCCCTGCCACATCCGACGAGCGTCGGAGCCGGTGTAGTACGATTCAATCTTAGTCCTGTATTGATGCTTAGCCTGTTTGATAGTTCATCGGAGGGCATAGCGGGATTTCTTATAAGCGTCCGGGTTAGAGTCCCGCTCCTTGAAAGCGGCAGCTCTACCCTTTAGCTCAGTGCGGATGTTGCCTGTAATCCATGGCTTCTGGTTGGGGTATGCACGTACGGTCACTGTGGGGACGACGTCATCGATGCAGTTATTGATGAAGCCAGTGACTGATGTGGTGTACTCCTCAATACCATCAGAAGAATCCCGGAAAACATATTCCAGTTTGTGCTAGCAAAACAGTCCTGTAGCTTAGCATCTGCGTCATCTGACTACTTCTTTATTGACCGAGTCACTGGTGCTTCCTGCTTTAGTTTTGCATATTTCCTCTGTAAAGCACCTTTATAGGAGGAGAGGGTGGAGTTTAAGATAGAGAAGGTTTAGCCACTAGCCAGCCAAAACAGGGAACTACTGTGCACTCTAATCTCAAACACACACTAAGCCTGGTTGTTTTACTTTGACTGGGTCAATAAGAGCATATCAATTAGGCAAAATAAATGTAGGCTACTTTGACACAAATACAAGAGCTATGTGGGGCGGCAGGTAGCTTAGTGGTTAAGAGCGTTGTGCCAGTAACCGACAGGTCGCTGGTTCTAATCATGAGGCCGACTAGGTGAAAAATCTGTCTATGTGCCCTTGAGCAAGGCACTTAACCCTAGTCGCTCTGGATAAGAGTGTCTGCTAAATGACTAAAATGTGAAAATGTAATGTTATTCCATTGGCTGTTGAAAAAAAATAAAGCCCACTGGCAATAGGGTGAATGCACCAATTTGTAAGTCGCTCTGGATAAGAGCGTCTGCTAAATGACGTAAATGTAAATGTTGAAACATGGTGCTTGCTTGCATCACTCAAGTAGTGGATTAGATTCTTTCATTATCCATATACTGAAGATTTAACAGTACTTAAAAGCTGTACACGGCGTTGGGAAACGAACTAGGCAAAAAAACAAAAAATGATGTTACAAACTCCCAATCTTAACCATACAAGAAGCCATTTACATGTAGCTGTACACAACTACTACTCCCACACACGTCGCTCAACGGGGGAGGCCATTGGACCGCTGGCATTTTAGTTTTTTTAACCAACGTTTATTTTAAGACTCAACTCTCTCACCAGAGTGAGATTAGGTCCCATTCTCGTCTCCTGTGACCTCACAGAGCGAGAGGCTAAGCAGGATTTTGCTGTCCCTCCTCAGACGGTTTATCTGCTGTGTGTGTGTGTCTGTGAGAGTGGGTGTGTGTGTCTGTGAGAGTGGGAAGGGTTGCACAGAGAGAGTATGTATCTGACTGACTATTGCTTTTGAGTCACCCAGACATGGTGCTGTTGTAGAGGATAACTGTTTTAGAAAAGGGAGAACTTTACTTATGTTATTGTGATGAGAGAAAGAACAAAGCAGAACTTCAAAACATGCATGGACGGGCTTCTGTAGCAGATGTGATGGAGACAAGGCTGATGGAAATTGATGATGTGATGGTGAGGAACTTAGATTTGTGTAGGGATAGTAAAATATGGGGATGGGCATTTGAAATGTTTTCAGTATTCGAATAATATCATATTTATTTGGATATCCGGATCGTTGAAATACATATTTTTTTACAACCAAATCTTATTTTTTTGATGTAAATGGCATGTTATAGAAAGGTCCAGACACCTTTTTTGTGATTTCACGTTTTAGAGAAACTTACCCCAAAAAGGCAAACAACTTCCTCATCCTCGTTGTGTAGTATGGGGGCCCTGAAAAAAATATGATCAAAGGCTCCAAAAACACCCTAATACATCCTTCTGGAAACGGTAAAGCACTCAGTAAAATGATGCAGGTCTTTAGATATTGTACACATGAAATTGTGTCATTCCGAACTGCAATGTTATATACCATTTTGTTGCGACTAGCTAGCTAAAGTAGCAATTCTAAAACTCCATTCATATGATTTAGCAAACTTAATTCCGTCATTTTAATTCCATTTTGCTAGAGTTGCACGGTATACCAGTACCACGGGAATATCATGGTAACAAAACATCATGATACTTATAATACCAACATTTTAGAATACCGTAGTACCGTTTCATATGATACTACCAGCTTTTTCAGCCCTACCAATCCTAAAGAACCTGCTGGCTTTTGTTATAAAATGTTTATAAAGTCAGTTTTGTTTATAGATTAAGTTGAATTTAACCAACAGCCACTATTCTCTTGAATGCGCAGGTCCAATAATATCAACTTCACTTTCATGCGCATATCACTTGTGGCAGCTGTAATCAGCCAGCCGCATACCCTACCAGCCCTTACCTGCTTCTCTCCGTCCACTTTTCACGTGCGTCTATTCCTCCGTCAGTTAAAAATATATATAATTTAGCCGTGATGGCGAACGAGGATGCAGACTCAGACCCTGAACAGTCTTCAGTAGATTTGGACATTTGTTACATTGGAGCAGTGCACAAAGCGAGCAATGTTGATACATTGTTTAATTTCATCACCTGTTATAACCAAGAGCACAGACCAGTCTGAGTAGACTTTGCAAGTCCATGGTCATGCAGCCTCTCAGTGACGGAGAGGGAAAATGGAGCACCACTTTGCGACAGGCATGCTTGCAGCTTTACAGCAAAGAATGTCTTGTCTCTAGCCTAAACGGTGAAAGAAATATGACCCATATTACCGGAGATGCCATTTTTTTTAAATCGGGATTCGCGTGCATTTTATATAATTTAACAAACAAAGTCGCAGGCCGTTTTTTAAGTAATCCTGGGTCGCTAATTATTAGTTTGATAACAAACAACGTTGTTCAGTCATGTTACCTAGCTAGCTAACAACCTGGTAACTTGACAGTAGGTTTAGGCTAATTTGATTGGCACTCATGAGATGTGCTTCAAAAGGTATGATTCATATAGGCCAAAATATAAACGCAACATGTAAAATTGATTAAATTAAGTGTTTTCCTCATCAGTCTACACACAATACCCCATAATGACAAAGCGAAAACAGGTTTTATGACATCTTTGCAAATGTATTACAAATAAAAAACAGAAATAACTTATTTACATAAGTATTCAGACCCTTTGCTATGAGACTCGAAATTGAGCTCAGGTGCATCCTGTTTCCATTGATCATCCTTGAGATGTTTCTAGAACTTGATTGGTGTCCACCTGTGGTAAATTCAATTGATTGGACATGATTTGGAAAGGCACACACCTGTCTATATAAGGTCCCACAGTTGACAGTGCATGTCAGAGCAAAAACCAAGCCATGAGGTGGAAGGAATTGTCCGTAGAGCTCCGAGACAGGATTGTGTCGAGGCACAGATCTGGGGAAGGGTACCAAAACAATTCTGCAGCATTGAAGGTCCCCAAAAACACAGTGGCCTCCATCTTCTTAAATGGAAGAAGTTTGGAACCACCAAGACTCTTCCTAGAGCTGGCTTCCCAGCCAAACTGAGCAATCGGGGGAGAGGGGCCATGGTCAGGGTGATGACCAAGAACCCGATGGTCACTCTGACAGAGCTCCAGAGTTCCTCTGTGGAGATGGGAGAACCTTCCAGAAGGACAACCATCTCTGCAGCACTTCACCAATCAGGCCTTTATGGTAGAGTGGCCAGACGGAGCCACTCCTCAGTAAAAGGCACTTGACAGCCCGCTTGGAATTTGCCAAAAGGCACCTAAAGGACTCTGACCATGAGAAACAAGATTCTCTGGTCTGATGAAACCAAGATTGAACTCTTTGTCAAATCAAATCAAATTGTATTGGTCACATGCGCCGAATACAACAGGTGCAGACATTACAGTGAAATGCTTACTTACAGCCCTTAACCAACAGTGCATTTATTTTAAACAAAAAAAGTAAAAATAAAACAACAACAAAAAAAGTGTTGAGAAAAAAAAGAGCAGAAGTAAAATAAAGTGACAGTAGGGAGGCTATATATACAGGGGGGTACCGTTGCAGAGTCAATGTGCGGGGGCACCGGCTAGTTGAGGTAGTTGAGGTAGTTGAGGTAATATGTACATGTGTCCTGAATGCTAAGTGTCACGTATGGAGGAAACCTGGCACCATCCCTACGGTGAAGTATGGTGGTGGCAGCAGGGACTGGGAGACTAGTTAGGATCGAGGGAAAGAAGAACAGAGCAAAGTACAAAGAGATCCTTGATGAAAACCTGCTCAGAACCTCAGACTGGGGCAAAGGTTCACCTTCCAACAGGACAATGACCCTAAGCACAAAGCCAAGACAACGCAGGAGTGGCTTTGGGACTAGTCTCTGAATGTCCTTGAGTGGCTCAGCCAGAGCCCGGACTTGAACCCGATCGAACATCTCTGGAGAGACCTGAAAATAGCTGTGCAGCGACGCTCCCCATCCAACCTGACAGAGCTTGAGAGGATCTGCAGAGAAGAATGGGAGAAAGTCCCCAAATACAGGTGTGCCAAACTTGTAGTGTCATACCCAAGAAGACTCGAAGCTGTAATCGCTGCCAAAGGTGCTTCAACAAAGTACTGAGTAAAGAGTCTGAATACTTATGTAAATTTGATACATATATATTTTATATATACACATTTGCACACAATTTCTAAAAACCAGTTTTTGTTTTTTCAGTATGGGGTATTTTGTGTAGATTGATGAGGAAAAAAATTGATTGAATCCATTTTAGAATAAGGCTGTAACGTAACAAAATGTGGAAAAAGTAAAAGGGGTCTAAATACTTTCTAAATGCACTGTAGTAACCTTTCTATGTAAACCCATTCAAGAAGACTCATAGAGCCCTAATACTTCCCCAGTTAAGACTGGCAGTAAAGATGCCGGTCAAGGCCTGTACTAATGCCCAATTCCAAAGCAACTCCAAGCTACTATCCCCTAGTCACTTATGTAGATCTGAAAGGATTGGATAGGTATGGGGCCAGAAGTTTTTCCACAGCCTTTAATTTGGGCTCACAATAGCCTCATTTCCATAGTTGGATCCCTTGGTCAAGAAAAACTCCTGGCCAGCAATGGTGAACATTTCACCTAGCCTGTCAGAAGTCACGGCGCTATGACAATATTGCAATGTAATCATCCTATCCAGGCCTTTCATATCTCCACATGTGGTTAAGTGGCAAAAGTGGCCCATTGACCTGTGTTCCATCTTTTGGTTCTTGTTAAAATAGGATAGATCCTAGCCATTGACCCAGCTGACCAAAAATAAATCTGTTTGGTGGGAGTGAGATTGCCCCTAACCACAGATCTAGTGTCACTTTACCCTACCAAAAGGCCAGGGGGGATGAAAAAATATCTGACCCTTATCAGTAGTTAGGGGCTTACTGTTAGGCTATGGTTCAACCCAGCACTCAGAGAAACAAACACGACAAAGGGAGTGGAAGAAACAAAATATTTAATAAAAGTTAAAATTGTCTTAGTCCAAAAACCACTGAAGTAAAGGAACAGAGTGGGCTAGTCGGCTCCGGAGGAAGGAGAGGCTGAGGCAGGCAGGCAGGCAGGCAGGCAGGCAGGCAGGTTGGGAGGTATGTCCGAAACTAAAGACAAAACAAACGACAGGTTAAGGAGAGTGGAGAGCCAGGCTGAAGACAAAGACAAAATAACTTTACTGGTGAGCCAAGTTACCGCTCTGGTAAGAACAACGATCTGGCGCCGGTGGAGAGCCATGCCCCGGAATTAGTAGTGCAGGATGATTAGAGAATAGGATGCAGCTGCGTAGGCAGGAATCACTGGAAACAACCCGCAGCTGCACAGGAGAGGCAGATCCTGAGCACGCCCCCTGATCCACTCCAGACACACCCACATAAAGGGGACAAACACACATACAGATACAACAGACACAGAGGGGACAAAACAAGGAGGAAGGGAAACAGAAAAGGGAGAGACAAGCTGCCCACATAACAGTACCCCCCCCTCAATGGTCGCCACCTGGCGACCCACCAGGTCTGTCAGGGTTGTCGTGATGGAAGTCCGTGATCAACTGAGGATCCAACACAAAACGCTTAGGGACCCAAGACCTCTCCTCTGGTCCATAACCTTCCCAATCGACTAGGTATTGGAGACCCCTACCCCGCCTCCGAGAGTCCAGTAGCCTACTGACGGTGTAGGCCGGATGGTCGTCAATGAGACGAACAGGTGGAGGTGGAACAGCCGGCGGACACAAAAGGCTGGAGGACACAGGTTTCAGTTGGGAGACGTGGAAAGTAGGGTGTATCTTCATGGCTGAAGGCAACTTCAAACGAACCGCAGCGGGGTTAATGATGGACTCCACCACAAACGGACCCAGGTACCGAGGAGACAGCTTGCGTGATTTGGTACGAAGAGGTACGTTCTTAGACGACAGCCAAACCTCTTGACCAGGATGAAACACAGGTGCGGGAGTCCTGCTCCTATCCGCTGTCCTCTTGTTCCTGTCGGTGGTCCGAAGCAACGCTTCCCGAGCATCGCGCCACACTCTCTGGCAGCGGCGGAGGTTCTCCTGAACCGAAGGAACAGCCAATTCCTTCTCCTGAGCAGGAAACAGAGGGGGTTGATAACCCATGGTAACTTCGAAGGGTGAAAGACCAGTGGCAGAGGTGGTGAGGGAGTTGTGGGCGTACTCTATCCAAGGCAGATGTTTGGCCCAGGATGATGGATGTTGAGCAGCCACACAACGAAGGGTTGCTTCGAGGTCTTGATTGGCTCTTTCTGTTTGACCGTTGGTCTGGGGATGAAACCCTGAGGACAGACTAACGGAAGCACCCAAAGCAGAACAGAAAACCTTCCAAACACGGGAAGTAAACTGTGGGCCTCTATCAGATACGATGTCCACAGGTATTCCATGGGGACGGAATACATGTTGGACTAGGAGGTCCGCTGTCTCACTGGCAGACGGTAATTTTGGTAATGCTATATAGTGAACAGATTTAGAGAATCTGTCCACAATGGTAAGTATAGTATCATTACCTTCAGACTTGGGTAGGCCGGTGACAAAATCCATGGCAATGTGGGACCAGGGACGGCTGGGAACTGGGAGGGGTAGCAGCAGCCCCGAAGGGGACTGATGGGAGGCTTTGCCCCGAGCACAGGTTGAACAGGCTGCCACAAAAGCCCGAACGTCAGTTTCCATTGAAGGCCACCAAAAATGTCTCCTAAGCAGCGTCAACGTGCGTCTCATCCCAGGGTGACCAGCAAAACGGGAGGTGTGAATCCACTGCAACACCTGAGACCGGACCGTCTCGGGAACAAAGAGTAGGTTGGGAGGTCCATCACCCGGTCCCGGGTCCGTGGCAAGTGCAGTCTTCACAAGAGACTCGATCTCCCACTGAACAGCCGCCACGACGCATGAGGAAGGCAGGACTGCCTCAGGCTCGCTGGTCTCCGAAGGGTCAGCAAACTGGCGGGACAAAGCATCTGGTTTAACATTTCTTGACCCCGGTCTGTATGTAAGAATAAAGTTAAACCTACTAAAAAACAGGGCCCATCTGGCTTGGCGTGAGTTGAGTCTCTTAGTGGCTTGGATGTAAGCCAAGTTCTTGTGGTCTGTCCAGACCACAAACGGCAGTTCAGCTCCATCCAGCCAGTGCCGCCATTCTTCCAGTGCTAGCTTGACCGCCAGCAGTTCTCGGTTTCCAACGTCGTAATTCCGTTCTGTGGGTGACAATTTTTTGGAGAAAAAAGCACAGGGGTGAAGCTTTTGGTCAGTGGGGGAGCGCTGGGAGAGGACGGCTCCCACACCTGAGTCCGACGCGTCCACCTCCACAACAAACTGCAGAGAGGTATTGGGGTGTATCAACACAGGGGAGGTGGAAAACAGTTCCTTCAAAACCCCTACCGCCTGCTCCGCCTCAGGGGACCACAGAAAAGGGACCTTTGGGGATGTGAGTCTAGTAAGGGGTGCCACCACTTTACTAAAACCCTTAATGAACCTACGGTAGAAGTTAGCAAAGCCCAAAAATCGTTGAAGTTGCTTACGGGTGGTGGGTATGGGCCATTCCGTCACTGCCCGGATCTTCTCGGGGTCCGCCTTCACCTGCCCGCTCTCAATGATGAAACCAAGGAACGATGTAGACTGTTTGTGGAACTCACACTTCTCTGCTTTGACGTAGAGCTTGTTTTCCAAGAGCCGTTGAAGGACTTGACGGACGTGTGACTCATGCTCCTCGGGTGACTTGGAAAAAACAAGAATATCATCCAGGTATACAAAGACAAAACGGTTCAAAAAATCCCTAAGAACATCGTTCACCATAGCTTGGAAAACAGCAGGGGCGTTTGAGAGCCCAAAGGGCATGACCAAATACTCAAAATGTCCCAGTGGAGTGTTGAAAGCGGTTTTCCACTCATCTCCCTTACGGATCCGGACAAGGTGATAAGCGTTCCTGAGGTCGAGCTTGGAGAAAACTGTGGCGCCATGCAGAGGTTCAAAAGCAGAGTTGATGAGTGGAAGGGGATACTTGTTTTTAACAGTTATGTTGTTTAAACCCCTGAAATCGATACAGGGGCGTAACGACTTGTCCTTCTTTTCCACGAAAAAGAAACCTGCACCCAAAGGAGACGACGAGGGACGGATTATGCCCGAGACCAGAGAATCACCAATGTACTGCTCCATTGCCTCTCTTTCCGGTCGGGACAGATTGTATAAGCGACTAGAGGGCAAGGGAGCACCAGGAAGCAGTTCAATAGGGCAATCATAAGGCCTATGTGGTGGTAGAGACAGAGCCTTGTCCTTACTGAAAACCTCCGCTAAGTCATGGTATTCTTTGGGGACAGATGACAGATCAAGAGGAGCTGAGGGATGAGTTGGGTTACACTTAGTGGGGGGAACCGCTGACCTAAGGCACTCAGAATGGCAGTTAGTGCTCCAACTGAGAATGGTGTGACGTGTCCAATCAATTTGTGGGTTGTGAAGAGCCAACCAGGGGAAGCCAAGGATTAGGGAGGTAGCTGAGCCAGACATAACTCTTAGCTGAATGCTTTCACAATGATTGCCAGAAATCACTAGGGAAACGGGGGTGGTTTGATGAGTTATCTCCGCGAGGAGGCGCCCATCAAGGGCTGTGACCCGAATGGGGGTAGGTAGTGGCTCCATGGGGATACGAGCTTGTGTAACGAACTGGTGGCTAATAAAGTTGTCTTCTGCACCTGAGTCTATGAGAGCTGAGAGTGGCAGGGAATGACTCTGGAAACGTAAGGTTACAGGTACTTGTAATCGGGGAATGATGGGTTCAGGATCTAACTCTGGGCTCGCAAGTAGACCCACCGTTACGAGCGAGCCTTGTCTTTTGGCCGCTTAGGGCATGTAGCCAGAATGTGTGTGGCGTCTCCACAGTACAGGCACTCACCCGCCTGGAGGCGCCGTTGCCGCTCTGCTGGAGGTAGTCGAGCTCGACCCACTTGCATAGGTTCCCTCTGTGCTCGGGATGGAATCAGGAACAAGAAGCTGCCGGCTCCGGGGAGGCGAGACTCGAGTGGTTGAAGGCTGGGGAACTCGTCCTCCTAGATGCGGCCGACCGCCTCTCTCCCGACGCCTCTCCCGCAACCGGTTGTCTAGCTTAATGGACAGGGAAACGAGAGAATGTAAATCATGTGGCTCGTCACGAGCAGCCAGTTCATCCTTAATGGCTTCATTCAAACCGTTTAGAAATGCTCCTTGAAGTGCCACATTGTTCCACTTGGAGTCCGCTGCCAAAGTCCAGAACTCAATAGAGTACTCAGCCACACTGTTAGAACCCTGCCTCAAATTAAAAAGTATCTTGGAGGAATTACCCACATGGTCAGGATGGTCAAAAACAGTCTTCAATTTAGCAGAAAAATCTGCGAAAGTCAATCCAGTCAAAGTTTGATTTGAGCACACAGCCTCAGCCCAAACCAGAGCTCTCCCTCTTAACAACCCCAGAACATAATGTACCTTAGAGGAATCAGTAGAAAATGACAGTGGTCTCTGCCGAAAAATCAAGTCACACTGAAGCAAAAATCCCCGGCACTTGTCCAATTCTCCATGGAACGGTTCAGGCGACGTGACAGGGGGTTCCCGATGGAACGAAGCCTGCATCATGTCCGAGGAACCAACTTGGGGTGCATCAAACTGGGGGTCAGAGAGAGATGGAGAACTGATAACAGACAAATTAGAGACTTGTGTAGTTAACTGAGTCACCTGGTTCAGCAGTTGATGATTATTTTCCAAAAGAGTCCGAATCAGTTGGTCATGCTGTCCTAGCAACGTTCCTTGAGCCTGGATAGCTTGTTGGAAGCTGTCTTCGTTTGCCCCGTGCTGTCTCTCTGTTGGGTCCATGGCCAGATCGTTCTGTTAGGCTATGGTTCAACCCAGCACTCAGAGAAACAAACACGACAAAGGGAGTGGAAGAAACAAAATATTTAATAAAAGTTAAAATTGTCTTAGTCCAAAAACCACTGAAGTAAAGGAACAGAGTGGGCTAGTCGGCTCCGGAGGAAGGAGAGGCTGAGGCAGGCAGGCAGGCAGGCAGGCAGGCAGGCAGGCAGGCAGACCGACAGGCAGGAAGGCAGGCAGGTTGGGAGGTATGTCCGAAACTAAAGACAAAACAAACGACAGGTTAAGGAGAGTGGAGAGCCAGGCTGAAGACAAAGACAAAATAACTTTACTGGTGAGCCAAGTTACCGCTCTGGTAAGAACAACGATCTGGCGCCGGTGGAGAGCCATGCCCCGGAATTAGTAGTGCAGGATGATTAGAGAATAGGATGCAGCTGCGTAGGCAGGAATCACTGGAAACAACCCGCAGCTGCACAGGAGAGGCAGATCCTGAGCACGCCCCCTGATCCACTCCAGACACACCCACATAAAGGGGACAAACACACATACAGATACAACAGACACAGAGGGGACAAAACAAGGAGGAAGGGAAACAGAAAAGGGAGAGACAAGCTGCCCACATAACACTTACAACCTAACCACTACTTCAAGATGAAGTTCAGCTTCAGGTGGTACTAACCAGAAATGTAGTCTTGATCTCTTGATCTTGAGACCAGTTGAGAGACTACATAAATGCAGTCTCAGTCCAGGGCTATGGTCTTGACTCCATCTATGATACTATTCTCCTTCCAGAGCATCCATCCTAACCCCCACCTCTCTTCTCCGTTGTCCCCTAGGGTGATGCCAGGGGCCAGCTGGTGTCGGAGCGGCTGGGCCTGGGCCACAATCTGGACCTGTCGGACACCATGGTGCAGCAGAAGCTGGACGAGATCAAGGAGCAGATCCGCCGTGAGATTCGCAAGGAGCTGAAAATCAAGGAGGGCGCAGAGAACCTGCGCAAGGTCACCACGGACAAGAAGAGCCTGGCCTACGTGGACAACATGCTGAAGAAGTCCAATAAGAAGGTGGAGGAGCTCCACCAGGAGCTCCAGGAGCTCAATGCCCACATCGTGGTCAAGGACCCTGATGAACTGCTAGGTATGGTTCTTGTTCACTGGGCATGGAAGGAATTAAGGTTGCAAAACTCTGGAAACTTTCCCAGGTTTTTTAGAAATCCCGGTTAGAGTATTCCTAGTTAAAGGATTTCCTCCCTGCTTTTTCCCTCTGGATTCCGGGAATCCTTCAACAGAGATTTCAGAAAAACCTGGGAACTTTGGGGGATGTATGTGAAACTTGTTATTTTGATATGAGGTGTATGCACTGAACTCAATGCCCCCCTTTTCTCTCCTCATTCCTATTTCAGTTCACGTTGTGGTTAATGACCCTAACAAACTGCTAAGGACTGTATGGTGAAATTGAGTGGAAAACAGTACCAAATTCACTTCAACTCAGGGTATTTTGCTACAGTATATACCAGCATTGACGTATTTCAGTGTTTGGTTTGTTAAATGTGATCCGCTACTCCGCCGTGTGTAGCGTCCGTTTTTATAGTTTACTCTGCTACTTGAGTCATTTATATCCTCTCGCTCTCTCTCCGTAAGGCTTTCCACACAGACCAAGCCCCGCCCCCATCAATCAAGGAGCTCAGTTATTGTTGCTCGACCAGGAGACCACTTGTTCAGTCTAGTCTGCATGGTCAATGCAGCACATGCAACAATATGGAAATGATGCAGACAGTTACATTGAGGGAAACTACAATCTATGCAATATTAAAGCTGATCTACCCCCTATAAAAAAAAAGTTAAATAAATCATTTTAGCCGCTAATGCTAATCTCTTGTTAGTGGGCTAGCTAGCTAGCTAATACATTTACTGAGTCAGAGAAACACTGCTAGTTAATACAGCCTGATACCAGTGATGGTGTAGGCCTAGATCAGCATGTTGTTTGTGTGACAGTATATTGTAAATCAAAGAAGAATAGGTGAAGCATGAATATGTTAGCTACATGAAGTAGCTAAGAGAACATTGAATGTAGCCAAAGATTATAGGGTCCCTAGGAAACGCTGACCAACACTGGTTCTTACAAGGTCAAAATAACTCCTCCCTGGTTTTTTCATTTGTTGTCATGTCAAACAACACTGTATTCAAAGTGGCCACTACTATATTCTAACTATAGAATTATAATCTTTCTATTTCCATGATTCCAACAGTTCACCCAAGTGTTTTGATTTAAATCGCAAGTCAAATTGCAATTGCAATATTTGGTTAAAAATAAGGCCTTAATTTTTTTGCCCATATCGTGCAGCCCTACCTGGCAGTGTGGAAATTATCTCAAATGAGTGCAGGAAATGCAGAAATTGAAAACAATCCGAATGGAGAAAGCCCAGTTTGAAAACACTTAGAATGTACTATATGTGTTGCCACCCTAGGGCCATGCACTACTTATAAAGCAAATTTAGCAAAACAGAAAATACAGGCATACCGTCAAATAAAAAAATTGTGATATGATATTTTGTCAAATCGCCCAGCCCTACTTCAGCTGTGGTATTTCTTGGTACAAGCACACACAATACATGATACAGCACATAATTACACATTTGACAGCAGCAACACAAGTCCACACAATGCTTGACAAATGCACAGAATACACAAATAGGACCTACACACAATGAATGCACTCTATTTTGGTGACTCATCTTCTAGGAGCTGACACTGATACATTCCACATTCCTTATTGTGTTACAATAGCCTCCATTAGTTATTTTCGAGGCTGTTGGAACCTGCTGCCGTGAATTTGTGCGCGACAATGGGTTTTTTACCATGTTACTGGAACTGGGGAAATTCAATATTGCGTTGCTACAGTGCATGGGCAGGAAATAGTTTATCAAATTGATAATGGGTAAGAAGGAGAGAAGGAATGGGTTTGTCTGCTGCTATTGCATATTCTACTAGACATTGGAAATGGTGGGGGACCTTTCTCTATGTAATATTAGTCTTAAGTGGGAACAAATTTTGCCTGACTCATTGAACCCTTATCTGATGAGAAAGGGCTTTTGTTAACTGACTCATGGCCAGTGGAATGTCACAGGGCGTCTTGGAACTGGGAACTGACCTCAGGTCATCTCCTCAGCAGCCAAGTTCTAGAGCAACGGGGGGTTCTGGTTAACCTCTGCCCTTGAGAACTGATGTCAGATCAACTCCCCCTTTCTTCACTCCCAACATCACCAGCAGAATGACTAAACAAGTCTTGGGTCAGTTGTTAAATGGTAAGATGTCACTGTATACACTACATTACCAAAAGTATGTGGACACCTGCTCGTCGAACATCTCATTCCAAAATCATGGGCATTAATATGGAGTTGGTCCCCCCCTTTGCTTCTATAACAGCCTCCACTCTTCTGGGAAGGCTTTCCACTAGATGTTGGAACATTGCTGCGGGGACTTGCTTCCATTCAGCCACAAGAGCATTAGTGAGGTCAGGCACTGATGTTGGGTGATTAGGCCTGGCTCGCAGTCAGCGTTCCAATTCATCCCAAAGGTGTTCGATCAGGTTGAGGTCAGGGCTCTGTGCAGGTCAGTCAAGTTCTTCCACACCGATCTCGACAAACCATTTCTGTATGGACCTCGCTTTGTGCACGGGGGCATTGTCATGCTGAAACAGGAAAGGGCCTTCCCAAAGCTGTTGCCACAAAGTTGGAAGCACAGAATCATCTAGAATGAACTAAGGGGCCTAGCCCGAACCATGAAAAACAGCCCCAGACCATTATTCCTCCTCCACCAAACTTTACAGTTGGCACTATGCATTGGGGCAGGTAGCGTTCTCCTGGAATCCGCCAAACCCAGATTCGTCCGTCTGACTGCCAGATGGTGAAGCGTGATTCATTACTCCAGAGAACGCGTTTCCACTGCTCCAGAGTCCAATGGGGGCGAGCTTTACACCACTCCAGCCGACGCTTGGCATTGCGCATGGTGATCTTAGGCTTGCCATGCTCTGCCATGGAAACCCATTTCATGAAGCTCCCGACTAACAGTTCTTGTGCTGACGTTGCTTCCGGAGGGTGTTTGGAACTTGGTAGTGAGTGTTGTAACCGAGGACAGACGATTTTTACACACCTGTCAGCAACCGGTGTGGCTGAACCGGTGTGGCTGAAATGGCCGAATCCACTAATCTGAAGGGGTGTCCACATACTTTTGTATATATAGTGTATGTCGAGGGCTCCCCTATGTGCGGCTGACCTGGGATCAGGCGTTCGGCTTGGGGAGTGTTCCCTAGTCAGCGCTCCAGGAGTGACATCACCCTGCTTGCTATTCCGTGGGTCAGCACTTTTCGGCTGGCCCAGCGTGGGCAGTGGAGAGGAGGAGGCGGTTGACTGGTCCTGACCCTCGACCAAACCCCTCTCCTCAAACAGATGATCAAATGTCAGTTGGGACTGCAATGGTGACTGCAATACATTATATATACACACACACACACACAGAGAACATGGCTGAGTATCCACCATCTATATTTGCATCTGCTGACATTCTGTCTATCTGATCTTGAACACAGTTCAGTCATATTGTATGAGGAACCTTGCGGACCCGTAATCATTCTCATTAGCGGCAGACTTTATGACTGGTGTTGCCTAGAGCAACCTGACGTACTCTCTTTCATCTCCCCTATTTAGAGCAACCACAGAGATTCTCTGCCAGGTTAATGGATGATTAAATGAATCATTAGACTTTGTTTGAATGAATCTGCGACCCCCGAGGCGTTTTAAAGAGTCTCCAGAGACCCATTTTTACATTTTAGTCATTTTAGAAGATGCTCTTATCCAGAGCGACTTACAGTTAGTGAGTGCATACATTTTTCATACTGGCCCCCCGTGGGAAACGAACCCACAACCCTGGCGTTGCAAGCGCCATGCTCTACCAACTGAGCTACAGGGGACTAAAGACCCCTATGTTTAACAGGATACGCTTCTCATTTAGGTGGTGTGTGGAGAAGATAATTGAATGCTAACTGGTTAGCGCTGTTGACTGGGTATAGGCCTAGAGCTTGTTAGCAGCAGACTATGTTGGTTAGCTGTGGTGCCATTTCAATGTAGCGTTGCAGTGGGGATGTGATGCTGTGGAGTCAATTCAATTCCACTTTCTAAGCTTTTGATTTGATCTAATTTAACAGGAAAATGAAATTTTGCCCTCAAACTGTCACCGAGCAAACAGTAAGAGCCAGGAAAAGCCAGTCAGGCAGGTTTTGGTCCCACTTGTGTGTGATGAAGCGAGCGTTCACTCGGCACTCTTCTCGGGGTGTAATGGGGAGGAGGGGTTCAGCTCAGCAGCCATTCGAGCCCAGGCACGAAAAGTAGTGAGCTCATCCCTCAGCACCGCAGCTTGACTGAAATGATTTTTTTTTTTTTTTTTTTGGTAATTTAGCAGACGCTCTTATCCAGAGCGACTTACAGGAGCAATTAGGGTTAAGTGCCTTGCTCAAGGGCACATCGACAGATTTTTCACCTAGTCGGCTCGGGGATTAGAACCAGCGACCTTTCGGTTACTGGCACAACGCTCTTACCCACTAAGCTACCGGCCCCCATGATACACTTTTGTTTTTGTGAGTGAGTTGGGTGCACACACAGCAGGAGACCCAACAGCCCCTTGGGCAGGAGGAGAGCATGGAGCTCCTGGGTGGTGTTCATTTGGGTTCACTGTAGCAAAACACTTTGACAAAAACACGGAGGGACTACCTGAAGTTGAAACGCTTCATTTTCCGTAGCAATTTTCTTCTGTTTTGTGCCTAATGAACAAGACCCCGACTTTAACTGCTCTCACAACTGTTGCGAAACACCCTGAGAGACATGGTAATATCGGGGGCATTGAGCAACAAGGGCTGTCAGTCATACCATAAACACGCATGTCGTATTTGCATGTAGAGTACCGTCACATGTCGTTTTTAGCAAGTTCACGCTTGTTTTACTCCGGAGACTGCCACGGCAGGTTCCCCTAACTTCTGTACAGTTTGAAACAAATCCTAATGCTTTAGGGCATTTTGTCGCGTCCTCATATTAGGGATGGGCAACTCCAGTCCTTGGGGGCCGGAGTGGTGTCACACTTTTCCCCCATCCTTAGCAAACGCAGCTGATTAAACAAATAGCATTCATGATTAGTTGATTATTGGAGTCAGGTGTGTTAGCTGGGGCAAAAGTGACACCAATCAGGCCCTTCCCCTGAAAGTGTAAAAACAAGAATTCACCTCCAATAGTTTTCATACCAACAGGCCTTCTGTTTTTAAACAAATTGCTTTTTTGTAGATAGTAAACAAGAACCTGATGAATATGGCAGCATTGAACAAGATGAGAAATACATTGTGGCCAACTCAAAGACCTCCCTCCTTCCATACAAGTCTTTAAATGTTGTAGCTAATTAACATGCAAATTTGGTTGTTGTATTGTAAGAGCTTTAAAGACATGCCCTGGAACTTTGGCGACTAGTACGTTTTTTTTTTTACCTCCCGCTTTGGGCTGGATGTGTCAGTGTAGTTCATACATGCAGAATTACTGTCTTACCTCAATTAGCCACGAAATCCCTAGTTTGAAAGCGACTGTGTTCTGGAAGCTGTGCGGTGCTATTTTCCCTACATTTTCCCCACGTGGGCCCAGCCCCCTAGCAATTCGAGTTCCAGCCAATGAGCTTCACCCCCTCGCCATTTGAGTGACAGCTAGCAAGATTCACACACAGCAGAGCGAGAGAGAGCAATGACGTGGTGCACATATCGTTTCTGCACATACAGTATGTGACGTTGTAAGCCATTTCCGGGGACCACTTTTGGCTCATGAGTGCTACTTTCGCGCTACTTTCAGAATTACTGGCAAGCAAGTATACAAAAGTACTCTTTTTAATGTTTTAATATCCCAGCTTCATATCTCCCCTTCCGATCTTCTACCTTGTTTTTAGAGTGCCCTTTGACCCCGGACACCCCGGCCAGCGAGGTAAGGATGTGCACCAGCAGCAGCCGCCTGGCCGCCCTGAAGAAGCAGAACGACATTGAGCTAAAGGTCAAGCAGGGGGCGGAGAACAGGATCCAGATGTACTCCAATGGCTCCTCCAAGGTACGCCCACTGACCTTTTAACCTTTGACTTTCACAAACAGCCATTTTCAGTAGTGACCTCAGGGGACATGTTCATTAGGGCTCTCAACGCAAAGGAAACATTTAATTAGTGTGTCTTATTGGTGAAGTCCAGGTAGTCCCTCCCTGCAGTCTCTTGTTCACTTGACCCTTCTTGTAAATAATCAGGTAGGGTTTTTCCAAAGCTTAAGAGACCACAAAAGCCATTATTCAAAATGTTGAGCTCAGTTGCCACCATTATAAATATGCAGGAAGCAAACTCGTCACTTTTCTGCGATATTCGCCGTTTTGATCTCAAAATAGGCCATTGTGTAGATCCGTAAATAAAAACTTTGGGGTGGGGAGGTCTGACGAAGAGTGTATCACCCATTGAGCTATAAAAAGGGCACAAACAGATTTGTCTGTGTGATCACTACTTCCTCTCTTGAAATTAATGACTGGGCACAGAATGCATCCCTACGCGTCCTACAAATAGAATATCAAACATAGTTCAGAGTGTAATGCCAGATACAGTGCCTTCAGAAAGTATTCACACCCCTTGACTTTTTCCACATTTTGTTGTGTTACAAAGTGGGATTTAATTGTTGTCAACGATCTACACAAAATACTCTGTCAAAGTGGGAGAAAAATTATATATTTATTGGATTAATGGAAAATATAACACTATCTTGATTAGATATATATTAGAATCACCTTTGGCAGCGAATACAGCTGCGAGTCTTCCTGGGAAAGACTCTCAGAGCTTTGCACACCTTGACTGTACAATATTTGCCCATTTATTCTTTAAAAATAAAAAGCTCTGTCAAGTTGGTTGTTGGTCATTGCTAGACATCCTTTTTCAAATCTTGCCATATATTTCCAAGCCGATTTGAGTCAAAACTGTAACTAGGCCACTCAGGAATGTCGTCTTGGTAAGCAATTCGTCTCCCAGTGTTTGTTGGAAAGCAGACTGACTGTGCTTAGCTCTATTCGGTTTCTTTTTAACCTAAAAAAAATATCTAGTCCTTGCCGATGATAAGCATACCCATAACATGATGCAGCCACCAACATTCTTAAAAATATAAAGAGTGGTACTCAGTGATGTGTTGTTGGATTTGCCCCAAACATAACGCTTTATATTCTCTCTCGCACTCACATATATTTATTTATTTAGCCAACCCTTATTTTACTTTTTTTTTTTTACATTTTAGTCATTTAGCAGACGCTGTTATCCAGAGCGACTTACATGAGTGCATACATAATTGTTTTATTTTTCATACTGGCCCCCCGTGGGAATCGAACCCACAACCATGGCGTTGCAAACGCCATGCTCTACCAACTGAGCTACATCCCTGCAGGCCATTCCCTCCCCTACCCTGGACGACGCTGGGCCAATTGTGCGCCGCCCCATGGGCCTTATGCTGAGGGAGACTACCTAGTTAGTTACCACCAACCTTGCACAAACCTGTGGCTAACTCTACTGCTGTACTTTTACTTTCTGGTTGTTCTGCCCGCTCTACCTCATTCACTGCTGCCTCAACCTTTTTTTGCCACCCTGTCGGAAGAAGTTCAGAATATCCAGACTGACTGAGTGACAGGCGTTTTGCTGAGTGATGACATTGACATCTAACCGGTGCTGTAGGGGTGGGAGAGGGATCAAGGGACGTGAGCTGTCCACTGTGTTGGGAAATCTCAACCAATCACAGCACACACTGCGTCACTCCAGGGGCTTCTTGCAGTGCCTACTGCTTAGCGCAGTATATTGTATTTTTTAAAAATATGTACAGTGGGGAGAACAAGTATTTGATACACTGCCGATTTTGCAGGTTTTCCTACTTACAAAGCATGTAGAGGTCTGTAATTTGTATCATAGGTACACTTCAACTGTGAGAGACTGAATCTAAAACAAAAATCCTGAAAATTACATTGTATAATTTTTAAGTAATTCATTTGCATTTTATTGCATGACATAAGTATTTGATCACCTACCAACCAGTAAGAATTCCGGCTCTCACAGACCTGTTAGTTTTTCTTTAAGAAGCCCTCCTGTTCTCCACTCATTACCTGTATTAACTGCACCTGTTTGAACTCGTTACCTGTATAAAAGACACCTGTCCACACACTCAATGAAACAGACTCCAACCTCTCCACAATGGCCAAGACCAGAGAGCTGTGTAAGGACATCAGGGATAAAATTGTAGACCTGCGCAAGGCTGGGATGGGCTACAGGACAATAGGCAAGCAGCTTGGTGAGAAGGCAACAACTGTTGGCGCAATTATTAGAAAATGGAAGAAGTTCAAGATGACGGTCAATCACCCTCGGTCTGGGGCTCCATGCAAGATCTCACCTCGTGGGGCATCAATGATCATGAGGAAGGTGAGGGATCAGCCCAGAACTACACGGCAGGACCTGGTCAATGACCTGAAGAGAGCTGGGACCACAGTCTCAAAGAAAACCATTAGTAACACACTACGCCATCATGATTTAAAGTCCTGCAGCGCACGCAAGGTCCCCCTGCTCAAGCCAGCGCATGTCCAGGCCCGTCTGAAGTTTGCCAATGACCATCTGGATGATCCAGAGGAGGAATGGGAGAAGGTGGTCTGATGAGACAAAAATATAGCTTTTTGGTCTAAACTCCACTCGCCGTGTTTGGAGGAAGAAGAAGGATGAGTACAACCCCAAGAACACCATCCCAACCGTGAAACATGGAGGTGGAAACATCATTCTTTGGGGATGCTTTTCTGCAAAGGGGACAGGACGACTGCACCGTATTGAGGGGAGGATGGATGGGGCCATGTATCGCGAGATCTTGGCCAACAACCTCCTTCCCTCAGTAAGAGCATTGAAGATGGGTCGTGGCTGGGTCTTCCAGCATGACAACGACCCGAAACACACAGCCAGGGCAACTAAGGAGTGGCTCCGTAAGACGCATCTCAAGGTCCTGGAGTGGCCTAGCCAGTCTCCAGACCTGAACCCAATAGAAAATCTTTGGAGGTAGCTGAAAGTCCGTATTGCCCAAGCGACAGCCCCGAAACCTGAAGGATCTGGAGAAGGTCTGTATGGAGGAGTGGGCCAAAATCCCTGCTGCAGTGTGTGCAAACCTGGTCAACATCTACAGGAAACGTATGATCTCTGTAATTGCAAACAAAGGTTTCTGTACCAAATATTAAGTTCTGCTTTTCTGATGTATCAAATACTTACGTCATGCAATAAAATGCAATTTAATTACTTAAAAATCATACAATGTGATTTTCTGGATTTTTGTTTTAGATTCCGTCTCTCACAGTTGAAGTGTACCTATGATAAAAATTACAGACCTCTACATGCTTTGTAAGTAGGAAAACCTGCAAAATCGGCAGTGTATCAAATACTTGTTCTCCCCACTGTATATACTGCATAGCACAAGTGATGTGTGGTTATGGAAACTCATATCAGACTGAAAAGGTTCAGGGCTGGATCAAAAACATCCAGGGATAAAGCCCCGGAAGCCCAGGTCTAATGATGCCACTGGGCCCACCCCCCATTTGTAGGCCCGCGGATACATTTCCTCCCCCCAAAAAATGTAGTTTATTTAAAAAAAATTATTAGGACCTCCGTTTTTTACTTATCGGTAAGTTAGTCTAGCCAGCTATCTAAACTTGTAGTAATCATGGTCGAATTATAGACCGGGGATTATTTGTATTTTTTTGTCACTCCGATATTATTTTTTAAACTGCTAACATTTCTCTCCACCCCATGGCAAAATGTGTATAATTGCAGGAAATTAGTTATACAATTGCAAAATACTCTCTCCGCCACATGGAAAGATGTGTAGAATTGCAGCAAACTTGCTTTAAAACTTCATTTTCAATTAGGGCCCCCAAAAGGCTAGGGCCGGCTCTGACTGTTTATGTGGGTACGCAGACCCGCGAGCCACTGCGGCCCCTCACGATGAGTATAATTGTTTTTGTGGCCCTCACCCCCATCAAAGTTGGCCATCCCTAAGCTAAAGTTTGGAATTTTGGCGACCCCAGTGCTAGAATCAGCTATAGCTGACCCTGTGTGAGCTAACCGCTGTATAATATTAAGGTGTGGAATGTTGGCGACCCCGGTCAGTGCTCCCCTGCCGGAGCGCTTGTAGAGATTGGCACCATCCTGTGGGAAATATTAGTGCCTGATGACAGCCAGGAAATGCCTGTCAGACGCAAGCCTTTCCTGCCCGCTACACCGCCATAGCATAGCACGCGCCACCACCAGAGGAATTCTGGGTGGAGTCGACTAGTTTACTCCACGGGCCAGTGTGTGCATGCTTTGAGGGTGACTGATTACACAACAACACAATGACATTCTACTTGAATCTTACATTTACATTTTAGTCATTTAGCAGACGCTCTTATCCAGAGCGACTTACAGTTAGTGAGTGCATACATTTTTCTGCAGTGAATAACTTTTTCCATGCGAACATTGAAAACTTTTGCTCCAATTTAAGGTTGTGATTTGAAGAGAAATGGGCTACTTTTGTAGATGTGGAATTTGGGTCAGGTGTGTTGTTCTTTTATTCATGAATTCCCATGAAGCTGTTTGGATCAGTAATGAACATCACACTGTACAGTTACCCTATATGCTAGATATGTATACCTATTAGTGATAGTGTGTGTTTTGTTTTTATTTTTCTAACAGGACCGGAAATTGTTAGCGACCGCTCAACAGATGCTCCAGGACAGCAAAACGAAGATCGAGTTCATCAGGATGCAGATCCTCAAAGGCAGCCAGGCCAGCGAGTTGAGCTTCGACAACAACGACGTCATGGGTGAGACACACACACACACACCTGCCTGTGACTCATTGTGTCCGTGGCCTCTCCTTTCCTGTGTTATCCCCTTTGACGCATATGGACACACACACACACACACACACTGTGTATTTGAGAACGACTACATTGCAGTCGAACTACGCAGAATTACTGATCTACAAATTACCTTCCATCCTAAGTAACTACTCATTATGTGATCAAGATTAGCGATTCTGCTGAAACTGATCACCTTAAACATGCTGATAGTCTCTAACAAGGTCCTCTTCCTCCAGCCAAGCCCATCATCAGCCCGTTGGACCTACGGGTGGAGGAGCTGTGTCACCACGCCAGGATAGAGTCAGCCGTGGCCGAGGGTGCCAAGAATGTCATGAAGCTTCTGGGCTCTGGCAAGGTCACGGAGAAGAGGGCACACTCAGAGGTACATACCAAAGCCATACTTGAGTAGGAGTGCTGATCTAGGATCAGATCCCGCCCCCCCGTCTATATAATTATGATCTTAAAGGCTAAACTGATCCTAGGTCAACACTCCTACCCTGGCCCCAAGAACAATTAGACCAAAAAAAGTATTTGAAAGCTATTGCTAAACTGTTAGACAACTCACTGCTCAACAAACTTATACCCAAAATGGGAGCAAATGCTTTCAAAACGTCTGGGACGAACTTAAGTATTCGAAATACCTTTTCTGTTTGTAAACTTGTTTTTCCTGGACCATGTGCTGTCAAAAACAAAAATGAGTACCTGCTCAGTTTCAGAGCTTTCACCCATTTCGTGCCTACTGAAGATGTCCCTGTTTTGACAATTGACCTTGCTGTTCTTCCCAGGCCCAGGCCCGCTTCAACGAGTCCAGTCAGAAGTTGGACCTGCTCAAGTACTCCCTGGAGGAGAGGCTGAGCGAGCTGCCCATAAACCACCCTCGCAGCAGCAGCATCGTGGAGGAGCTGTCCCTCATGGCCTCGCCCGCCCTCAGCCCGCGCTCCAGCATCATCTCCACCCAGAACCAGTACAGTACCGTGGCCAAGCCCGCTGCGCTCACAGGTAACGGGACGATATCCCACAGCAGTGGCCACCATTTGCATGCTGTAAACCTCTGAATTTAGGGCTGAATATTAACTTGAGATATGCATGCTTAATTTGACAATAGTGTTAATCATGCATTAATGTCAATGGAAAATTTGTGCAAAAACTGGAGTTGCTCACACAGAGCTCAAGTTCTAGCTTTTTACATACTGGCATCTGGATTTCAGTCTAAAAAAAGTATGCAGTTACCAATATATCAAGACAGCAGACCTGCCAACCTGCACGCATTTTGTGTACCATGCATGCAATTTGTGGTCAAAGCACGCTGGTACGAAAAACTACCCTAAAATCTGCAAAAAATAGGCTTCTAGTTGGCACATTGTGATTTTTGACTCAACCGTCTGAAGTTGGAGCTGAGCCAATCAGAGGACTTGACTTGGGTGAGGAGAAAAAATCTCTAGCTCTCTGCTCCGGACTGCCCCCCGTAGTTGTAGTCCTATCAAAGATGGTGGATAAATGAAGATAGTTCACTCAAGCCGTTTACTGTTGGAAAAAATGTATGTTCCTGTTTACTTAAGGGGGTGGCTCTCCCATAGACATTAATTCAGTAGCAGCTGGGTCTGGTCTACTTAGTTCAATGACTTCAATTGAACCAGAAAAAACAGCGAGTGCGGTGTCTCGCTTCCTCTTCCGTCTCTGGAACTATTTTCCTCCCTTGAGCTGGATGGCAGCTCTCCATTTCATCCGTTGATACCACTGATGTGTGAGGAAAAAGAAAAGGGAAAATGGAGAACAAACTGTTTGCCAAATACACTTTCCAAAGTTGTATGCGTTAGTCAAGCACATAACCACTATTATTTCATAGTTAGCTACAGCGTTGTTTAGTCAACTAAGCGAGAACACTTTCTTGCCCGCACATGCTTTGATCTCCGCAACAGTAGTAGGCGCAAGCGCCTTGACGAGTAAGGAAACACACAGTGATGCGGTAGTTCAGTGCGCATCGCTGCATGGATGAAACCGACATGGCAGAGAGCGCTGTTTCGCTAATACCATCCTTCACAGAAAGTTATATTAGACTTTTAAAAATAAGTAGGCCTATGTTAATTAATCCGTCCTCTTGATATAGCTGTATGTCAACAGTAGGCTGTTAATGATGTGATAATAGTCAGTTCACCAATGACGACAAGGCATGTTGAATGAATGGTAGCCTAGTAGTCAGACCTAACTTGATGGACTACGTCAGGGATGGAGATCTGAAACAAGCTCATATAGGCCTAGTTCAGTTGTTTCGCTGCTCTGGCACCCCAATGGTGGAACAAGCTCCCCCACGACGCCAGGACAGCAGAGTCACTGACCACCTTCCGGAGACACTTGAAACCCTACCTCTTTAAGGAATACCTGGAATAGTATAACAGTAATCCTTCTACCCCCCACCCCCCCATTTAAAAAAAAAGGAGTGGTTGTCCCACTGGCCATCCTAAGTTGAATGCACCAATTTGTACAGTGAGGGAAAAAAGTATTTGATCCCCTGCTGATTTTGTACGTTTGCCCACTGACAAAGACATGATCAGTCTATAATTTAATGGTATGTTTATTTGAACAGTGAGAGACAGAATAACAACAACAAAAAACAGAAAAACGCATGTCAAAAATGTTATTCATTGATTTGCATTTTAATGAGGGAAATAAGTATTTGACCCCTCTGCAAAACATTACTTAGTACTTGGTGGCAAAACCCTTGTTGGCAATCACAGAGGTCAGACGTTTCTTGTAGTTGGCCACCAGGTTTGCACACATCTCAGGAGGGATTTTGTCCCACTCCTCTTTTCAGATCTTCTCCAAGTCATTAAGGTTTCGAGGCTGACGTTTGGCAACTCGAACCTTCAGCTCCCTCCACAGATTTTCTATGGGATTAAGGTCTGGAGACTGGCTAGGCCACTCCGGACCTTAATGTGCTTCTTCTTGAGCCACTCCTTTGTTGCCTTGGCCGTGTGTTTTGGGTAATTGTCATGCTAGAATACCCATCCACGACCCATTTTCAATGCCCTGGCTGAGGGTACATGGCTGAGGTTCTCACCCAAGATTTGACGGTACATGGCCCCGTCCATCGTCTCTTTGATGCGGTGAAGTTGTCCTGTCCCCTTAGCAGAAAAACACCCCCAAAGCATAATGTTTCCACCTCCATGTTTGACGGTGGGGATGGTGTTCTTGGGGTCATAGGCAGCATTCCTCCTCCTCCAAACACGGCGAGTTGAGTTGATGCCAAAGAGCTCCATTTTGGTCTCATCTGACCACAACACTTTCACCCAGTTCTCCTCTGAATCATTCAGATGTTCATTGGCAAACATCAGACGGGCATGTATATGTGCTTGCTTGAGCAGGGGGACCTTGCGGGCGCTGCAGGATTTCAGTCCTTCACGGCGTAGTGTGTTACCAATTGTTTTCTTGGTGACTATGGTCCCAGCTGCCTTGACATCATTGACAAGATCCTCCTGTGTAGTTCTGGGCTGATTCCTCACCGTTCTCATGATCATTGCAACTCCACGAGGTGAGATCTTGCATGGAGCCCCAGGCCAAGGGAGATTGACAGTTCTTTTGTGTTTCTTCCATTTGTGAATAATCGCACCAACAGTTGTCACCTTCTCACCAAGCTGCTTGGCGATGGTCTTGTAGCCCATTCCAGCCTTGTGTAGGTCAACAATCTTGTCCCGGACATCCTTGGAGAGCTCTTTGGTCTTGGCCATGGTGGAGAGTTTGGAATCTGATTGATTGATTGCTTCTGTGGACAGGGGTCTTTTATACAGGTAACAAGCTGAGATTAGGAGCACTCCCTTTAAGAGTGTGCTCCTAATCTCAGCTCGTTACCTGTATAAAAGACACCTGGGAGCCAGAAATCGTTCTGATTGAGAGGGGGTCAAATACTTATTTCCCTCATTAAAATGCAAATCAATTTATAACATTTTTGACATGCGTTTTTCTGGATTTTTGTTGTTGTTATTCTGTCTCTCACTGTTCAAATAAACCTACCATTAAAATGATATACTGATCATTTCTTTGTCAGTGGGCGAATGTACAAAATCAGCAGGGGATCAAATATTTTTTCCCTCACTGTAAGTCGCTCTGGATAGGCAGGTAGCTTAGTGGTTAAGAGCGTTGTGCCAGTAACCGAAAGGTCGCTGGTTCTAATCCCCGAGCCGACTAGGTGAAAAATCTGTCGATGTGCCCTTGAGCAAGACACTTAACCCTAGTCGCTCTGGATAAGAGCGTCTGCTAAATGACTTAAATGTAAATGTTTCATATTCCAAATAGCCTACAGTAAGATAGACTACTACATTGCATCCAGTAATTGACTTATTTAGAATTTTCTCCCCAAACAATTAAGAAGCCAGTTTACATTTTCACTAGACTATCCACATAAAGACACCTATTAATTAGAATAATCATTACCCCGAAATGTAACCCAAACAAATGTGAAAGTGTCAATGAGACCACCTCAATTTAATTTAGGCTCAAACACAAGACTTCTGTGTTGGCTAAATTGTTTGATATAATTTAAGACTCTAGGTTTCAAGAAATGGCAGTTACAGGTTTTTCAGAAATGCTAAATGCGCCAACTTCGTTGACTAACCCCCTCCAGACCTCTCCCCTACCCAACCTTAGCCCTACATCAGCACCACCTTGTTAGAAAATCCTAGTCAGAGCCCTGATTGTACATTTAAACATATTTCTAGGTAGCTACTGAAGAGCAGCCAATTACCAAGTACCCGTAAGTCTATTGCCTACCATTCTTACTGAAGCAGTCTTCTGCTAACATCATTATTAGGCTAAAAAAGGTGCATTTGCCTATGATTTGAGCAGTGTGGGTTTCGCACGCACGCCATCATGGGGGCCGGGGGTGCTGCTGCCGCGCTGAAGTGGTACTCATAAAAATGATTCTAAGTTGGTAGGTCTCAGACAGTATTCTGTAGTACTGTGCTTTGCCCATCCTCTCAAAATCTCTTGTCTTCCCCAGGCACATTAGATGTCAGGCTCATGGGCTGCCAGGACCTGCTTGAGAACGTTCCAGGTCGTTCAAAAGCTGGTTCCGTGCCATTGCCTGGCTGGAGCCCCAGCGAGACCCGCTCCTCCTTCATGAGCCGGGGGAACCGCAACCGAGGCGCCAGTGCACGGAACCTCTCGAAGAGTGAAGATCTCTCAAGTGAGTCTCCTGACACCAGCAGTCTCTCCTACTATCAGCCCTCGATCAATAAGTGAATCCATTGATATCTTTTTTGTCACCATCAGAAATCCAGGGATTTACAATGTACAATATTTATACATACACTGAACAAAAATGCCAAGTGTTGGTCCCATGTTTCAGGAGCTGAAATAAAAGCCCCCCAAAATGTTCCATACGCACAAAAAGCGTATTTCTCTAAAATGTTGTGCATAAATTTGTTTACATCCCTGTTAGTGAGCATTTCTCCTTTGCCAAGATAATCGATCCACCTGACGGGTGTGGCATATCAAGAAGCTAAGTAAACAGCATGATCATTACACAGGTGTACATTGTCCTGGGGAAAATAAAAGGCCACTCTCTAAAAGGTGCAGTTTTGTCACAACACAATGCCACAGATGCCTCAAGTTGAGGGAGCGTGCAATAGGTATGCTGACTGCAGGAATGTCCACCAGAGCTGTTGCCAGATAATTGAATGTTCATTTCTCTTCCATAAGCCGCCTCAAATGCCATTTTAGAGAATTTGGCAGTATGTCCAACCGGCCTCATAGCCGCAGACCACGTGTAACCACGCCAGCCCAGGACCTCCACATCTGGCTTCTTCACCTGTGGGATCGTCTGAGACCAGCCACTGGGACAACTGATGAAACAGTGGGTTTGGGCACAACCAAAGAATTTCTGCACAAACTATCAGAAACCGTCTCAGGGAAGCTCATTTGCTTGCTCGTCGTTCTCACCAGGGTCTTGACCTGACTGCAGTTCGGCATCGTAACCGACTTTAGTGGGCAAATGCTCACCTTCGATGGCCACTGGCACCTGGAGAAGTGTGCTCTTCATGGATGAATCCTGGTTTTAACTGTACCGGGCAGATGGCAGACGTCGTGTGGGTGAGCAGTTTACTGATGTCGACGTTGTGAACAGAGTGCCCCATGGTGGCGGTGGGGTTATGGTATGGGCAGGCATAAGCTACGCACAATGAACACAATTGCATTTTATCTATGGCAATTTGAATGCACAGAAATACCGTGACGAGATCCTGAGGCCCGTTGTCTTGCCGCTCATCTCATGTTTCAGCATACACAATTCCTGGAAGCTGAAAATGTCCCAGTTCTTCCATGGCCTGCATACTCACCAGACATGTCACCCATTGAGCATGTTTGGGACGCTCTGGATCGACGTGTACGACAGTGTGTTCCAGTTCCCGCCAATATCCAGCAACTTCGCACAGCCATTGAAGAGGAGTGGGACAACATTCCACAGGCCACAATCAACAGCCTGATCAACTCTATGCGAAGGAGATGTGTCACGGTGCATGAGGCAAATGGTAGTCACACCAGATAATGACTGGTTTTCTGATCCACACCCCTACTTTTTTTTTTTTTTAAAGGTATCTGTGACCAACAGCTGCATATCTGTATTCCCAGTCGTGAAATACATAGATTAGGACCTAATTAATTTTTTTTTATTGACTGACTTCCTTATATAAACTGTAACTCAGTAGAATATTTGAAATTGTTGCATGTTGCGTTTATATTTTTGTTCAGTGTAGTTGTGTCTGAAATGGTAACCTATTCCATATATAGTGCACTGTTTCTGACCAGGGCCCATTTCCGACACAGCCATATGCATACTTGACAAAGAACACATTAGAAATACCTGAAACCTGTCCAGTGACTGATTTCCCCTGCCATCATCCCCTCAGCTTAAGAGTATGGGTTGTAGCAAAACTAGAAATATATAGAAACCACAGCACTCTATGTAGTATATCCTAAAGAAAGAACACCATGTTCATTTAAATGTAATGTCATTTGAACAATGTATGTATAAACAATACTGTAATATGTCTATTTTTGACAGGAAATGGTATTTCATCTTTGTGTCCCTCTCCAGATGAGATCAGTGCTGTGCTGAAGTTGGACAACACAGTGGTGGGACAGACCAGCTGGAGACCTGTCAGTAACCAGTCCTGGGATCAGAAGTTTACACTGGAGCTAGACAGAGTATGACACACAGACAGACAGACTTTATATGTTCTTTGATTAGTGAAGGATGGTATACTTTTGCCTTTTTTAAATACCCTACTGTGCGTTTTTTTCACTTATTGTGCTTGCGAATTACTAAGGGCAAATTGTCTTGGTGCAAAAGACCATAGATCTGTGCAACAAATATCGCAAAACCTCATCTGGCAGCACGATTTAATGTTGATATGTTCTACAACGATGTGTTTTACAGAGACTACTATTTATGCATTGCTCAGTTCACCAGACTAGTTAACTAATCGCCTCCTAGTAATGCACATTGTTGAAGAAAGTTTTAAATTCAATCACGCTGTCATTGAGGTTAATGGTATTTTTCTGCACAGATCTATTTGCACCATGAAAATGTCGCCCTAGGTATACTTTGCCTGTGTTTTAACTTTGCTTGCATTTGTGTGTGCTTAACCTTGTGTGCATTGTTTGACCTGCAGTCTCGTGAGCTGGAGATCTCTGTGTACTGGAGAGACTGGCGCTCGCTTTGTGCCGTCAAGTTCCTGCGACTGGAGGACTTTCTGGACAACCAGCGTCACGGCATGTGTCTCTACCTGGAGCCCCAGGGAACCCTGTTTGCAGAGGTAGCCCACTTTGACACTACACCAGGGATGTGTTCATGAGCAGACTGAAACAGGGAGGGACTACCTGGACCTGTACAATAAGAAATGTTCATCTTTGTTTTCGGTGCTAGTGGTTTAAAATGTCCTATGATGAAGGCTGTTTGCTTGGTATGCCTAACTACTGCTTTTTGTTCAGGTCACATTTTTCAACCCTGTCATTGAGAGGCGGCCCAAACTGCAGAGACAAAAAAAAATATTCTCAAAGCAGCAAGGTAACTCATCGTTTTCTGAAGGGGAAAAAAATTAAATAGGGCCCAATGTAGAATACATTTTGTTTCATATTCAGCAGGAAGTCCACACCAAGGTTATTATAGTTTTGTTTTTATATTCGTTTTTATTTCTATTCGTTTTGTATCTTTTTATTTTAAATTCTGTTTAAATTCAGTTAGTTTTCAGACCTGATTTGCTAGTTTTAGGGACAGAAAGCATGCCTGGGAGGCTAGGAGCCATTTGTGTTGTAAAGTCTTTTTGTTTTTTGGGATGTCACTTCTTGCAACTAAGGGGCAGTAATACAATGTGCAAGTGACGTCTTCATACTTCCGGGTCCTGTCCCCTAAATCTTTTGAATGAGCTTGACGATTATATCATCATTTGTGAAAACGTGGTCATTTTAATATATACAGTGCCTTTGGAAAGTATTCAGACCCCTTGACTTTTTCAACATTTTGTTACGTTGCAGCTTTATTCTAAAATGGATTAAATAAAACAATTTCCTCAGCAATCTACACACAATACCCATAATGACAACGCGAAAACACGTTTTTAGAAATGTTTGCAAATTCATACAAAATAAAAAACAGATACCTTATTTACATAAGTATTCAGACCCTTTCGCTTCCCGAGTGGCGCAGCGGTCTAAGGCACTGCATTGCAGTGCTAGGGGCGTCACCAGATCCCAGGCTGTGTCGCAGCCGGCCGTGACCGGAAACCCATGAGGCGGCGCACAATTGGCCGAGCGTCGTCCGGGTTAGGGGAGAGTTTGGCCGGCCAGGATGTCCTTGTCCCATCGCGCTCTAGTGACTCCTTGTGGCGGGCCGGGCGCATGCACGCTGACTTCGGTCGACAGTTGTACGGTGTTTCCTCCGACACATTGGTGCGGCTGGCTTCCGGATTAAGCAAGCAGTGTGTCATGAAGCAGTGCGGCTAGGCAGGGTCGTGATTTGGAGGACGCATGGCTCTCGACCTTCGCCTGTCCCGAGTCCGTACGGGAGTTGCAGCGATGGGACAAGACCGCAACTACCAATTAGATATCACGAAATTGGGGAGAAAAAGGGGTAAAAAGTACCAAAATAAAAAAAGTATTCAGACCCTTTGCAATGAGACTCAAAATGTAGCTCCGGTGCATCCTGTTTCCTTTGATCATCCTTGAGGTGGTTCTACAACTTGATTGGAGTCCACCTGTGGTAAATTCAATTGATTGGACATGATTTGGAAGGGCACATACATGTCTATATAAGGTCCCACTGTTGATAGTGCATGTCAGAGCAAAAACCAAGCCATGAGGTCGAAGGAATTGTCCGTAGAGCTCCAAGACTGGATTGTGTCGAGGCACAGATCTGGGGAATGGTACCAAAAAATTTCTGCAACATTGAAGGTCCCCAAGAACACAGTGGCCTCCATCATTCTTAAATGGAAGAAGTTTGGAACCACCAAGACTCTTCCTAGAGCTGGCTGCCTGGCCAAACTGAGCAATCAGGGGAGAAGGGCCTTGGTCAGGGAGGTGACCAAGAACCCGAAGGTCATTCTAACAGAGCTCTAGAGTTCCTATGTGGAGATGGGAGAACCTTCCAGAAGAACAACCATCTCTGCAGCACTCAACCAATCAGGCCTTTATGGTAATGTGGCCAGACGGAAGCCACTCTTCAGTAAAAGGCACATGACAGCCCGCTTTGAGTTTGCCAAAGGCACCTAAAGGACTCACAGACCATGAAAACAAGATTCTCTGGTCTGATGAAACCAAGATTGAGCTCTTTGGCCTGAATGCCAAGCGTCACGTCTGGAGGAAACCTGGCACCATCCCTACGGTGAAACATGATGGTGGCAGCATCATGATGTGGGGATGTTTTTCACCGGAGACTAGTCAGGATCGAGTCAAAAATGAACGGCGCAAAGTACAGAGATATCCTTGATGAAAACCTGCTCTAGAGCACTCAGGACCTCAGACTGGGGCGAAGGTTCACCTTCCAACAGGACAACGACCCTAAGCACACAGACAAGACAACGCAGGAGTGGCTTCAGGACAAGTCTCTGAATGTCCTTGAGTCGCCCAGCCAGAGCCCGGACTTGAACCCGATCGAACATCTCTGGAGAGACCTGAAAATAGCTGTGCAGCAACGCTCCCCATTCAACCTGACAGAGCTTGAGAAGATCTGCAGAGAAGAATAGGAGAAACTCTCCAAATACAGGCGTGCCAAGCTTGTAGCGTCATACCCAAGAAGACTCAAGGCTGTAATCGCTGCCAAAGGTGCTTCAACAAAGTACTTAGTAAAGGGTCTGAATACTTATGTAAATTTGATATTTCCATTTTTAAATGTGCAAACATTTCTAATAACCAGTTTTTGCTTTGTCATTATGGGGTATTGTGTGTAGATTGATGAGGGGAAAAAACGATTTAATCAATTTTAGAATAAGGCTGTAACGTAACATAGTGGAAAAAGTCAAGGGGTCTGAATACTTTCCGAATGCACTGTTTATGTCAAATTATTTTCATGTTTGTGGATTATTTTACTTCTGCCAGATGCCTTTTATTAACGGCCCAGTGCAGTCAAAAACATGATTTACATGATATTTTTTCTTCTTTTTGACCATTTTAATAGAAAACAATGTAAGGTAATTACCCAGAAATGATTTGATATTGAGATTAAAATGGCTACATTGGACCTTTAAGTTTTTGCGCTGAAGACCATTCCGCTACATTTTTGCCCTTTTGAAAACCATTCAAAAAGCCTACAAAAGTTTTAAAACTACAAGGCTACTTCCTGGTAAATGACGTCACACATAAGGACACAACGTTTTGGAACGTTCCGATTAGAAATAGCCTATGTAGAACAAACATGCCTCTCTGACATGTAGAATAAGGAATCACATCAGATTTATTCATGGCATTTCAATCTGCAATGTTCGAGAATGTTTGGCATCTGAACGTAGCCAAGGTCAGGTCATAGGTGAGGTGAGGTTTAAATTATAAATTCAATCTCAATGTGACTTGGATTTAAAAGGAATAACACAGAAACTGGTGCAAAAAATATGGTGGAAGGAAGCTCTCTCTCGCCCATGAGGTATAGGGGTTTACACCAATCCAATGGCTTTTAACTTTAGTTAGTGATAGTGAAACATCACCATCTCCTGGCAGCATTTACCTGCCAGATTCATGAGCTTGAAACCCCCATTTAAAAAACCCTTTTAGATTTCTTGCCAAAGCCGAGGGGGGAAAAAACTACAATTGAACATAATTCATGATGGTTTTTATTTTTGTTCGTTTTGGAGTCAAAGCTAATAGTTTCAGTATAGTTTTAGTTTTTCAATCAGGTTTGTTAATTATTTTATATTAGTTTACTAAATAGTTTTTTTCATGATTAGTTTTAGTTTAGTATAATAATCTTGGCCCACACAGAGAGAAACGTTACATGTTTTTATGGAAAATATACATTAATTTCACGTTATTCTGACATCATACAGTTGTCTTCAGTTTTCGTTGTCCACTTTGGACGGTTTAATTTGGTCTTCTACACTAAAAATAGGTAATCAAATAGTGGTGAGGTGATGATCTCCATGGTCACCCCCGGTCATAAGGTCATGCCCTGTAGGATTAGTGTTCCTCGTCCGGCTTTGTGACCGGTGTTGAGGTTAGTGTGTCACTTACCTATCCTGTGTCCCTCCTCAGGGAAGACGTTCCTGCGTGCTCCACAGATGAACATCAACATCGCCACCTGGGGCCGCCTGGTCAGGAGGGCCATACCTACAGTCAGCACTAACTCCTACAGCCCACATGTGCCTGAGATCGGGCCCAGCAGTCTTCCGGGATCTCCAACACCCACCAGGTATATATAGAACAGGCATGAACGCACACACACACACACACAGGTCCATGAGACTGGGCCTGACAACCTGGGCCACACTGTCACATGCCTTCTTAAAGTCTTTATCACATATGCACACAGTGTGGAATACATACATATACAGTGCCTTGCAAAAGTATTCACACCCCTTAGATTTCTTCACATTTTATTATGTTACAAAGTGGGATTAAAATTGATTTAATTGTCCTTTTTTGTCAATAAGCTACATAAAATATTCTGTCAAAGTGGAAAATATATTTATTTAAAATCAATAAAAAATTAATAACTCAAATATAGTTGTTGCATAAGTATTCAGCCCCTTTGTTTAGGGGGCCTAAATTGGCTCAGGAGTAAGATTTGGCTTAACAACTCACATAGTAAGATACATGGACATAATATCTGTGTGAAATAATAGGGGTTGACCCGTGTGGCTCAGTTGGTAGAGCATGGCACTTGCAACGCCAGGGTTGTGGGTTCGATTCCCACGGGGGACCAGTATGAAAATGTATTAACTCACTACTGTAAGCCGCTCTGGATAAGCGCGTCTGCTAAATGACTAAAATGTAAAAAGTATTGAATTTCAAGCAAAGATTAAACTACAAAGACCAGGGAGCTTTTCGAAAGCCTCATAAATAAGGGCAGTAATTGGTAGATGGGTAACAATAACAAATCTGACATTGAATATCTCTATAAGCATGGTCAAGTTAATAATTATGCTATGGATTATGTATTAAAGCACCCAGAAACATCAAAGATACAGTCGTCCTTCTGAACTGAGCCGCAGGACAGGAATGACACTGCTCAGGGATGTTACCATGAGGCCATTGGTGATTTTAAAACAGATACAGAGTTCAATGGCTGTGACGGAAGAAAATGTTGGATCAACAACATTGTAGTGACGCCACAATAATGACCTAAATGACAGAGTGAAAAGAATAATACAAATATTCCAAAACATCCATCTTGTATGCAACAAGCCACTAAAGTAATACTGAAAAATAAAACACTGCAAAGGAATACACTTTTTGGTCTAAATGCAAATACAACAACACTGAGTAACTGCTATTTTCAACCATGGTGGTGGCTGCATCATGGTATGGGTATGCTTGACATCGGCAAATACTGGGGACTTTTTCAGGATTAAAAGAAACAGGATGAGCTAAGCACAGGCAAAATCCTAGAGGAAAGCCTGATTCAGTTTGCTTTATACCAGAGACTGGGGGATGGAATTCACCTTTCAGCAGGACAATAACCTACAACACAAGGCCAAATCTACACTGAAGTTGCTTACCAAAAAGACCGAGAATGTTCCTGAGTGGACAAGTTACAGTTTTTGACTTACATCTGCTTGAAAATCTATTTTGATAAGAATAATGGGCAAATATTGCACAATCCAGGTGTGCAAAGCTCTTATAGACTTGACTTACCCAAGAAGACTCACAGCTGTAATCGATGCCAAAGGTGTTTCTAACATGTATTGACTCAGGGAGCTGAAAACTTATGCAATGGCTATATTTGAGTTATTACATTTCTATTTATCTTTTCTAAAAAATTAAAATGTTCTTCCAATTTAACCTTAGAGCATTTTGTGTTGATTGTTGATAAAAAAGGACAAATACATTTTAATCCCACTATGTGAAGAAATCCAAGGGGTCTGAATACTTTTGCAAGGCACTGTATTACTCTGTCATTAAGATGTGGCACCTTCCCTTCCAGTGACATTAGTGACCCGTTGGTGACCAAGCTAGACTTTGACAAAGAGCCCACCCCGGGACCCAAGCACTACCCTGTACCCGCTGGCATCAGAGAACCACTGGCACAGGACAACAAACTGCCCGACAAGGAGGAAGTACAGGTACAGACATGGGGTTACCATGGAGATGCTCGATTAGAGGAAGTAGTGACATATAGTCATATATGATAATGGTAATGGTCAACCCAGTTCAAGTGAATTAAAACATTAAACAACTGTCAATGGAAACCTGAGTCATGTTCAGTCAAATAAAATACCATTTTTTAAATGAGGATGTACTGAACCTGAACATTTTCCGTTGCATAACATTTTGCTACAGTTTGCCATACTGAACACAACCCCACTGCCGCATCCTCCTAAGAAGTGTTCTCCCTTCACAGGATGCACTGGCATCGTTTGACTTCCTGAACAAGAGGAACAGCATAGCGGTGAAGTCGTCTGAGCTAGATAGACTAGACAATGTAGTAGAGCAGGAGATCCAGCCTCCAGACCTGGAGCTCACAGCCATACAGAATGACACAGAGATAAGGTAGGGCTCACTAACAAAGTGCATGTTTGAGAGATTGACTACATTGCAGTTGAACTAATCTACAAATCACCTTGCATCCCAAATAACTACTCAGTATGTGATCAAGATCAGCGATTCTGTGCCCCTTAAACTGGTCCTCTCAAATAGGCTGAATATCTGCGACTCCAATACTGTTTGGGGAGATTTTGTGGAGAAACTCGGATGCATGCATGACTTGCTTTTAACCAATTTTTGTTTTTGTTTGATTGGTTACAATTAATGTATTGGGGGCAGTGTATTTTGCCCAGCTTGCATGAGAAAGTGCGTGTTTGTTTTTTTGCTTATTGAAAGCAATAGCTTGTCTTTGTATTTTTCCATGTAATATGATATCTACCTCAATTTCCAGGGAAGAAGAACAATTTCTGTTTAGTCTCAAAGACTTCAAATGTGTTGCAGTCCTCGGTCGTGGTCATTTCGGAAAGGTACATAGTACACACCCAACCCATTTCTCAATCCTTTTTACAACCCTTCTAGAGAAATTAGCTGTTTCTGGAAAACACAACCCAGCCATCCTAAAATGTCTCCTCTCTTCCCTCAATCCACACAGGTATTGTTAGCCGAGTATAAAAGCACGGGAGAGATGTTTGCCATCAAAGCCCTGAAGAAAGGAGACATTGTGGCTCGTGATGAGGTGGACAGGTAAGGGGCTCAACATGTGCACTTAAACCAATTAGGCCTGATGCTGATGTCTTTTTAACTGTTTGTTTGCTGAGCGTGTTATTCAGTTCAGAGTTGACTACGGCTTTCGGTTTTGTACATCACCTTCAAACAGCCGAAAATATGATATTACATGCTCTCAGACAGATAGTGTGATTAGTAGTAATATAATTGTTATGATGAGTTTCTGGTATTGAGAAGTTGAAGATGCAAGAATTTACTTAGACATTCTGTGGAGATTTTATACCAAGTATTTATTGGATCACGAGCTTGTGGGTTCATCTAACAAACAGACATGGCTTTGCCCTTCGTCAGTTGAACTAACTTGAACAAAGGAAACACTCTACCTTATATACCTTCTATTCCCCTCTTCCTGGCATACATCTGGTAAGTTTCCATGGGCACTCCCTGTCTTTGATGTTCATCACTCTTTACCCCAAGTCACTATCCTGCCCATCACTCATGCTATCCTAAACATCACTAATCTACCTTGACATAATGGAATGTAGACTTCATGACCCAAAACCACTTATCTTGTAACTCTACCTCTGTCCTCACAATACTATGACATGACATCATTACAATCATTTTTTTTTTCTTTTGTGGTAAGTGACATGACTTAACCCCAACAATTCACATATAACTTTATATAAAATACAATATTCTCCAATCAGTAGTACGTATATCTCTGACTAGATCCTAAACTATACTAGATAACTGAGAATTGATCCCTTCAACCTTTCATACCCGAATCCAACTTGATTCTCCATTTATTTAATCAACAAAGGTATAAATTCTCAGTCATCTATCTTATGTGATATCAAACCTCTCAAACCTCTATAAACTCAGTCTGAGTAAAAGATAAACACATAATTAACTACTATATATTCATGCTAATAATCTATGTAGTCAAAACCTTATTGTTTATATATAAGGAAAAATCCCACATAGACATCCCCCCTTTTAAAATGACCCCTTTTTCTGAGCCATGCAACCAAGAAAACATACATAGAAATAAATTGTTAACATAATGACATCAACAATACACAACAATTATACATAACCATTACTAAGTCACATGAATATTATAATCTATACACATTAATATAAAAATAACAAAAACGTCCGTCTTCATAATTTCTGTGCCCAAGTTTTTCCCTGGTCACAAGGGGCTCTATCTGATCCACTGAGATATTAATCTGTCCACATCTACTATCCTGTAAACCTTAAATTCCATGTTATACATTTCCACCTTAACATTCCTTGTCCTCAATCAACATTATCAATGGAATCTAAACTGGAACAAGATGACAAAGAAGAAGAATTAGTCCTCGCCCTCCTTGTATTAACATTAACTGATACATCTCTAACTGTAATCACATGCATGTTAGTAATCGTTTGTACAGATCTTACAATCCATCCCCGAAAAATTTGAAAACAACACCCCATAACTATTGCTACAATAATTACTATGGCCACTAGAGGACCTAGAATGCTTGCCATCTATGTTCCTATTGAATTACCACTAAAAAAAAACGTTGAAAAGACTTCAACAGCATTCAAATTACCATATCCCCATATTCTTAATACAATATGCAAATATACCAATAAATCCTCATACCATCAATACTACCCCCTTTTTTGAACACATGAGTCACAACGTGATTCATGCTTTCAAAAACAAAACACCAACATTGTTTATTAAACCCTAATAAAAATTAAATTAAAATGACAACATTGGATAATACCTCAACTTACTTCTATCCCGTAAAGTAATCCAAGATTAGTACACTTAACTAGCAACAAATATCCCTCATTCAGGATAGCTCCCTCTCTTTTTAGTTATTTTATGGTAGGATTCATATATATTATTACCAAATTATAAACTTCTTCACAATTATCCTTATCATAACTAACCCCCAATTCAGCATGCCTCAAGGATTTACAGTGCGGGTGATCAAGTCACACTATAAAGCCAGGACAGATTGCAGAGGTCATTGAAATCATTCAATGAATTGTTCCATCCAATAGTATACTAAACATTACCAACATTCAAAACCTTTCATAAATGTTATGTACCCCAAGTGTACATTAAATCCTCATGACATTTATTCTCATAAGAAATCATGTATACCCAAAACTCAGTCAAAAAATTAAAAAACTTCATAAAATTCACTGTGTGTGCTCCTTTAAGACATATCACCTTTGACCTGTTGAAACTCCTAACACTCAAAATAACAACCCTTTATAAACATCATACTAGGTGTGTTGTGTTTTTATTTGAAAAACCCATTTGGAAAACAAAAAAAAACCAGGCCAGGCCTTATTTAATTTGTTAGCTCCCTATTACAACCTAAAAATAAGACTAATTAATTTTACTAACTAGTCCACCCTAGCCCTGGGCAATATTCCAATGAGATAAAGAAATCCCCTTTCTCCTGGAATAGAAAGTATACATGTCGTTAACATATAATCAACAATCCAAAGATAGTAATTACACACAAAACCTGCTACATATATCCACAGTCCTCTATCATCAATAATCATTTGTATCAATCTAACTCCTCATAACTACTCCATAAAAATATTATATAAAACCTCCCCAAAAAAAATTTACCACTCAAAATTCCTCTGAGTTTACAATGATTATGTTGAATTGATTACCCTTCAGATCATATCCTCTTTAAATCTCACCATGATTATTGAACCCCTACATCTGCTCCTTTTGATTCCATATCAACTAATCCATTATCGTTTACTTTATCAGCAACCTAGGAAATATCAGTTTCCCCTTTTATTATTCCTAACTTCCCTCTAAATGTCAAATTTCATACATTATCCAATACAACCACGTACTCCTCCTAAGTAAGACTAGATATCTTATCCCCTGAATCGATTTAAAAATTGTTTGATACGTTGTCTCCTACTTTACCCTTAACATAATACTATAGGAGACTTCCATCAATCCTGGAAGAAATAAAAAACGCCCCCTCACAAAACACTGGATAATACCACGTTTATTAAGTTAACTACACCTTCTACTATAAACCTATAACCCCTTTCTAGTAATTGTATCATCGCTAACTGTTGCATTGATGTTTTAAATATAAACGTATTGTTTCATAATCCAAAACCCACAAAAAGATGTCTCCTTAATCCATCAGGCCAACAGCAACAACTATCTCCCATCGTTCAACGTACTATAAACAGATTATCGTTATCAGAAGTAATGAACCGTCGTCATAACTCACCGCTGTTTAAACAAACTATATAATGTCATAATAAAATGATCAATTATCAAATATTGTTCCTTATTCAACTATCTAAACATGTTCTTCATTAGTAAATCGTCTCCACAAAGCAATACTACCTAATAACATATTCTCATTCACCTAAATATAAATAATTACTTCTATTAAACAATCCCATTCAACATCAAGTCAACCTGTCTCATCACCCAATTAACTTACTTACTTTTTAAACCCTCTACAATATCTATCATACTCTACCGCTAATTTTCCTTATAACGGTACCTCAACAGATGACAAATTACTGTGAAGTTATAGTCAAAACAAATAAAACATCCAATTCAAAGCTATGCAACTTTAATTACTATGTTATACTATTTGTTGGTAAGACGATCCCTTTCACAAAATGTTTATCATGTCACCTATTAATCTATGTCAATATCCACAATGTAAAAGTTTTGCTTTCTATCCCTCTCTGGGTTTGAACCAGGGACCCTCTACACATATCGACAACATTCACCATCGACACACCATACAAAATCCGCGATCCTTGCAAAGCAACTACTTCCAGTTCATAGAGCAAGTGACGTCACCTAATGAAAACCGCACTAGCTCTCACCGCTAACTAGCTAGCCATTTCACACCGATAACATTCAACCCCCTATGATTTCCTTCTCCACAGCAACCATTGACCTTGTACACCTAACGTAACCCATAATGTCTCTTACAGCGCTCTCACGTTTCAGCAAGCCCCAATGGTTAACACCCGCAGACAAAAACATGGACATTCTTCCATGTTTTACTAGTAGACAAATTAACACACTCTCAAACAGCGTTCTACATTAACCTCTATCATAGGGTTTAAAAACTAACGTAACAACATTAACCATCCTAAATTGCTATAGTAACGTCATGAACAGTGGGGGAAAAAAGTATTTAGTCAGCCACCAATTGTGCAAGTTCTCCCACTTAAAAAGATGAGAGAGGCCTGTAATTTTCATCATAGGTACACGTCAACTATGACAGACAAAATGAGGGGAAAAAATCCAGAAAATCACATTGTAGGATTTTTAATGAATTTATTTGCAAATTATGGTGGAAAATAAGTATTTGGTCAATAACAAAAGTTTCTCAATACACAGGTCAAACGTTTTCTGTAAGTCTTCACAAGGTTTTCACACACTGTTGCTGGTATTTTGGCCCATTCCTCCATGCAGATCTCCTCTAGAGCAGTGATGTTTTGGGGCTGTCGCTGGGCAACACGGACTTTCAACTCCCTCCAAAGATTTTCTATGGGGTTGAGATCTGGAGACTGGCTAGGCCACTCCAGGACCTTGAAATGCTTCTTACGAAGCCACTCCTTTGTTGCCCGGGCGGTGTGTTTGGGATCATTGTCATGCTGAAAGACCCAGCCACGTTTCATCTTCAATGCCCTTGCTGATGGAAAGAGGTTTTCACTCAAAATCTCACGATACATGGCCCCATTCATTCTTTCCTTTACACGGATCAGTCGTCCTTGTCCCTTTGCAGAAAAACAGCCCCAAAGCATGATGTTTCCACCCCCATGCTTCACAGTAGGTATGGTGTTCTTTGGATGCAACTCAGCATTCTTTGTCCTCCAAACACGACGAGTTGAGTTTTTACCAAAAAGTTATATTTTGGTTTCATCTGACCATATGACATTCTCCCAATCCTCTTCTGGATCATCCAAATGCACTCTAGCAAACTTCAGACGGGCCTGGACATGTACTGGCTTAAGCAGGGGGACACGTCTTGCACTGCAGGATTTGAGTCCCTGGCGGCGTAGTGTGTTACTGATGGTAGGCTTTGTTACTTTGGTCCCAGCTCTCTGCAGGTCATTCACTAGGTCCCACCGTGTTTTTCTGGGATTTTTGTGATCATTTTGACCCCACGGGGTGAGATCTTGCGTGGAGCCCCAGATCGAGGGAGATTATCAGTGGTCTTGTATGTCTTCCATTTCCTAATAATTGCTCCCACAGTTGATTTCTTCAGACCAAGCTGCTTACCTATTGCAGATTCAGTCTTCCCAGCCTGGTGCAGGTCTACAATTTTGTTTCTGGTGTCCTTTGACAGCTCTTTGGTCTTGGCCATAGTGGAGTTTGGAGTGTGACTGTTTTTGAGGTTGTGGACAGGTGTCTTTTATACTGATAACAAGTTCAAACAGGTGCCATTAATACAGGTAACGAGTGGAGGACAGAGGAGCCTCTTAAAGAAGAAGTTACAGGTCTGTGAGAGCCAGAAATCTTGCTTGTTTGTAGGTGACCAAATACTTATTTTCCACCATAATTTGCAAATAAATTCATTAAAAAATCCTACAATGTGATTTTCTGGAGAAAAAAATTCTCAATTTGTCTGTCATAGTTGACGTGTACCTATGATGAAAATTACAGGCCTCTCTCATCTTTTTAAGTGGGAGAACTTGCACAATTGGTGGCTGACTAAATACTTTTTTCCCCCACTGTATGTTCAGTTTATTTATTACGATAGTATGTCCATAATACTTCTTACAAAGCTCCATTATCCCTAGTTTAAAAAATATATATTTCTATAATTGTCTTAGTTCCCTTGCTTCACTTCCCATGAATATAAGACATTCGCTTTTCTGTGCGTCCTAAACTACATTCAATTTCCCTGTAATCAACTAAGATCATAGCCACACAATGAAACCATCACTCCGCCTTTATCAGAATGAATGAGATCTAGTCAACTATCCTTTCTAAGTAGGCTACAAGTAACACCAAACACTTGCTGTAGTTTACCATCATATATTGAAATTATCCATTTATCACGATCCAATTTATTTATAGACATATTCCACCATTCTCACTCGTTTAATCTAGCAAAACCACTACCACGCACTCTTCTCTCCATACCCGTTAACATTTTTACATTTTAGTCATTTAGCAGACACTCCTATCCCGAGCGACCCACAATTAGTGAGCTCATACATTTTTTATACTTACACTAGCCCCCCTTGGGAATCTAACACACAACCCTGGCATTGCAAGCACCATTCTCCACTAACCGAGCTACAAGAGTCCTGCTATTTAAACCACACACGCTTCAAATCATACATTCAACATCACCAAACCAAATACTCTGTCGTACCCATTCAATCAACAACACATCAGCAGTGAAATGTACACTCATAAATGCAGATTGTTACTCCATGCCATTTAAATGATAAATAAATTCCACAAATAGCGCCATTACAATGATTTCTCATCTTACCCTCTGATACAAAATGAAGTTCCATCACTTTACTACGTTAGCTCTACCATGATAATTAGTTCAATTGAACCCTATATTGGCTTTGTACTATATTATACATTACGTCTAAAACAACATTACTTATGGTCAGTTTATTCCACTATCACATGATCCAACAACGGTATAAACTTAGTAAAACCCATATTAATTACTTTCCCACCCATTACGTACGTCTACGTTTGGGTGAGCAAGTTTAATACAGACATGGCACTCTAATTATGATTTTGTCATTACCATTTCCAAATCGTCATAACTCCTTATAGAACATTATAAACTTCTAGTTACTGACCTCAAATAAGCCCTTCGTAGTGTTTTTAACCATTCTTAATCGACCCAAATCTCTACAAACATTTTCCCAGCGGAACCAAAAAAAAAAAAAGAAATAGACTGTAATTTCCCGGACACTGCTCTGCCTGTCCAGAAAATATAGCCTAAATTGCTCTCTAAATTAACGTCAATCTCCATGCCACACCTTGCATGCAATATTAGTAATTAAATACTTTACATAAAATCCCCATCTGTATTAAAATGTCATTTGCTTATTTCTGCCATTTTGGTGCTAGTATTCAATATGTTACATTACATTGGCTCCATCTCCTGGCCATTTTGAGTAATTCATCCACAGGACTTATTGTCACAGGGCTTGTATAACACGGTTGAGGCCTTGAACCTCTTCCCGACTAACACTGTATGATGATTCTTTCGCACCAAAGTATTTTATAAACTTTATGATGATTCTTTCACATCAAAGGCCTTAAACCTATTTTATGAACTTTATGATGATTCTTTCACATCAAAGGCCTCGAACCTATACCAAGGATTCTATTTTATAATGTCGTACACTGCATAATCTCGTCATGTTGAGGACTTGAACCTCTGACCTTTCTACGTTCGTCTACCAAGGACGTTTATCTCTGAGGACTCGAACCTCGCATCTTTCTACGTTCGTCTACCAAAGACGTTTATCGCTGAGGACTCGAACCTCGCATCTTAAAGATGTCTATCCTGTCGTCACGGGACTGACATAACCCATCTATCTTACTTTAGGACACAAATCTAACTTATCATAATAAAAGAGCCTACACCCAATGTTGTTAAAACCCATTCTACTACTTCTGTTTTGTGTTTGGTCCTTTACTCAGACCAAACTCTGTTTAGAATAATAGCACCCTATTATCGTCAAATTTAATTAACTCCTTACATCTCATTACATAACTCAATACAACTCATCGCCCCCTTTAAAAATATTGAATTTTAAACGTTCATTACAGTTCAGCTTTACCACAGATAAGCAGATTTCGACATAATCAAAAAAATGAAAGTCTGCTTACCTGTTAGTTGAGCTGTAGACTGTATCCTGTTCGTGAAGACGCCAATCTGTTATGATGAGTTTCTGGTATTGAGAAGTTCAAGATGCAAGAATTTACTTAGACATTCTGTGGAGTTTTTATACCAAGTATTTATTGGATCACGAGCTCGTGGGTTCATCTAACAAACAGACATGGCTTTGCCCTTCGTCAGTTGAACTAACTTGAACAAAGGAAACACTCTACCTTATATACCTTCTATTCCCCTCTTCCTGGCATACATCTGGTAAGTTTCCATGGGCACTCCCAGTCTTTGATGTTCATCACTCTTTACCCCAAGTCACTATCCTGCCCATCACTCATGCTATCCTAAACATCACTAATCTACCTTGACATAATGGAATGTAGACTTCATGACCCCAAACCACTTATCTCGTAACTCTACCTCTGTCCTCACAATACTATGACATGACATCATTACAATAATGATCAGTAGTAATCAATAGGGTTAAAGTACAGTTTTGTCTGTCCACGAAGAGTAGGTATAAATGTAAAGTTGAAGGCTCATAAAGGCATTGCGTGATTTTTTTTATGGATAGTCGGATGTACAGTATGTTTCCTTGTGTTACTACATACAGGACCCTAAGGTATTTTTTAACAGCCTTCAAAGAATGTCAGAAATTCAATGCGTCCTCACAAATATATTAGAATTTTAGCAACCATGTAGTCGCAGAGTGATTTCTACATATTGCTCCTATAACAGTTTGTTGTTTTCCACCTGGGGATATTAGCTTAGCTTTCTAACTACGAGTTTGGGCTGATTTCTTTTCTGGTCCTCTGTAGCTCAGTTGGTAGAGCATGGCTCTTTCAACGCCAGGATAGTGGGTTCGATTCCTGGGTGCACCTAAACGTAACAAATGTATGCACACATGACTGTAGGTCGCTTTGGATAAAAGCGTATTATATATTTTCATTTCAGGAATTGATTTACACGTGGGATTTGAGTAGCATTGCATTCCTTTTGTAATCTAAGAAGAGCCTTGCTCAGGTATCAGGGGCTTACATCTTTGTTTCTCTGTCTTCCCCCACTAGTCTGATGTGTGAGAAACGTATCTTTGAGACGGTGAACAGCGTGCGCCATCCGTTCCTGGTCAACCTCTTCGCCTGCTTCCAGACGCAGGAGCACGTGTGCTTCGTCATGGAGTACGCAGCCGGAGGAGATCTGATGATGCACATCCACGCTGACGTCTTCTCCGAGCCCAGGGCCATGTGAGTGACACCAGGGTCCTTTTCATTTACATTTTAGTAATTTAGCAGATGCTCTTTTTCAGAGCGACTTACAGGAGCAATTAGGGTTCAGTGCCTTGCTCAAGGGCACATTGTCAGATTTTTCACCTAGTTGGTCTTTAACCTTTTGGTTACTGGCCCGACGCTCTTAACCGCTTGGCTACCTGCCGCCCTGTTCATTAGGCAGAAAACGTTTTGATGCAGTGCGAAACAGGGAGGAACTACCTGGATTTGTTCAATAAGAACACAGATTTTCGTTTTCCTTTTGCAAAGGTTTTTGCTACAGTGTGCCCTACTCAATATACAAATATTATGCAAAGCAAGCCATAAAATCATGACTTGCATTTGTAAAAAATAATACAAAATGCAGTCTATTATTTTTTTTGTGGTATAAAGGCTCACTTGCTTTGTGAGCACTGACGCTTTTGCTACTGCATAGATTATTTTCAGGAGCCCCCTCACCAATAATACTGGTGCAATTGGCTTTGAGTGTCTTAAGTGCTCACCTCCATATCCAGTGTCTTGTATTCACTTGTAACCTACATCATATTAGAAAGTGGATTCTCTCCTCCAACTAATCCAGCTATTGTTTTTTTTCTTCTCTTTCGTAGATTTTATGCCGCTTGTGTCGTATTGGGATTACAGTTTTTACATGAACATAAGATTGTGTACAGGTAAGCATAATTCCATTCACTGGATGAATATATGCTCAGATATAACATAAATTGATGGTGATACTCGTGCTTCTACATCTGCATTGCTTGCTGTTTGGGGTTTTAGGCTGGGTTTCTGTATAGTACTTTGTGACATCTGCTGATGTAAAAAGGGCTTTATAAATAACATTTGATTGATTGATTTTGTTTTACTTTCAGAGATCTGAAGCTTGACAATCTGCTCTTGGACACTGAGGGCTATGTAAAAATCGCTGACTTTGGCCTTTGCAAAGAGGGTAAGTGGGACAAAACAACCTCAACTTAATGTCACTTTTCCAACACCATTGAATGTAAAATAAATGTATAATAACCTAAATCTGACTCAGTCAAAACCTTAACTCTATCTAAGGTCTCTGCTGATCTGAAACTTATGTGGGTGTCAAATGTACATACCTGATGCCTCCCGAGTGGCACAGCGGTCTAAGGCACTGCATCGCAGTGCTTGAGGCGTCACTACAGATCCGGGTTCGATCCCGGGCTGTGTCGCAGCCGGCCGCGACCAGGAGACCCATGAGGCGGCGCACAATTGGCCCAGCGTCGTCCGGGTTAGGGGAGGGTTTGGCCGGCTGGGATGTCCTTGTCCCATCTCGCTCTAGCGACTCCTTGTGGCGGCCGGGTGCGTGCACACTGACTTCGGTCGCCAGCTGTACGGTGTTTCCTCTGACACATTGGTGCGACTGGCTTCCGGGTTAAGCGAACAGTGTGTCAAGAAGCAGTGCGGCTTGGCGAGGTGGTGTTTCGGAGGACGCATGGCTCTCGACCTTCGCCTCTCCTGAGTCCGTACGGGAGTTACAGCAATGGGACAAGACTGTAACTACCAATTGGATATCACGAAAAAGGGGTAGAAAAGTACCCCAAAATATATATTATAATAATAATGTACATGTCTGGGTGTAAAGTTTCTGTATTAAACATGTGTCATGGTTATGTGTATTCTGTCAGGAATGGGGTTCAGGGACCGCACCAGTACGTTCTGTGGCACGCCAGAGTTCCTGGCCCCCGAGGTTCTGACGGAGACGTCGTACACGCGTGCCGTGGACTGGTGGGGTCTGGGGGTCCTCATCTTTGAGATGCTTGTTGGAGAGGTTAGTTGGTCTCACCTTCTCACCTGTCATATGGATACCTACTCAGTGTTATGACTGGTCAGTACTTTGTCAGCTCTGAGAACAGAATATTTTAGAATATTGGCATTGAAATGACAAGATTATAATATTTGTCATGACCTTTCTAACATTATATACATAGACGGTCTGGTCAGTACATTCCATGTAAAAAACTATTATATATCATTGATTGTATGTGAAAAAATCTTTTTTGGCCCGCCCCACAGTCTCCCTTCCCTGGAGATGATGAAGAGGAGGTGTTTGACAGCATCGTCAACGATGAAGTCCGCTACCCAAGGTTCCTCTCAACGGAGGCTATCTCCATCATGAGAAGGGTGGGTTCTGGATCCCTTAATAAACTAACCTCAAATTGCGTCATTGAATTACAGCTTGGATGTTTATTCTGCTTTGTTATGCTCTTTTTGGTTGTAGCTTTTGAGGAGGAGTCCAGAAAGACGTCTGGGGGCAGGAGAGCGAGACGCAGAAGAAGTAAAAAAACATCTGTTCTTCAGAGTAAGGAAAGAATGTTCTACTTTCTCATATTTAATACCTAGGTGTCTGGTTAGACCGTAAACTCTCCTTCCAGACTCACATTAAGCATCTCCAATCCAAAGTTACATCTAGAATCGGCTTCCTATTTCGCAACAAAGCCTCCTTCACTCATGCTGCCAAACATGCCTTCGTATAACTGACTATCCTACCGATCCTTGACTTCGGCGATGTCATTTACAAAATAGCCTCCAACACTCTACTCAGGAAATTGGATGTAGTTTATCACAGTGCCATCCGTTTTGTCACCAAAGCCCCATATACTACCCACCATTGTGACCTGTACGCTCTCGTTGGCTGGCCCTCACTACATATTCGTCGCCAAACCCACTGGCTCCAGGTCATCTATAAATCACTGCTAGGCAAATCCCCGCCTTATCTTAGCTCATTGGTCACCATAGCAACACCCACCTGTAGTATGCGCTCCAGCAGGTATATCTCACTGGTCATCCCCAAAGCCAACACCTCCTTTGGCCACCATTCCTTCCAGTTCTCTGCTGCTAATGACTGGAACGAACTGCAAAAATCTCTGAAGCTGGAGACTCTTATCTCCCTCACTAACTTTAAGCATCAGTTGTCAGAGCAGCTTACCGATCACTGCACCTGTACACAGCCCATCTGTAATTAGCCCACCCAACAACCTCATCCCCATAATGTTATTTATTTTGCTCATTTGCACCCCAGTATCTCTATTTGCACATCTTCTTCTGCACATCTATCACTCCAGTGTTAAAACTAAATTGTAATTATTTTGCACTATGGCCTATTTATTGCCTTACCTCCATAACTTACACACACACCGTATATAGATTTTCTATTGTGTTATTGACTGTACGTTTTGTTTATCCCATGTGTAACTCTGTGTTGTTGTTGTTTTTATCGCACTGCTTTGCTTTATCTTGGCCAGGTCGCAGTTATAAATGAGAACTTGTTCTCAACTGGCTTACCTGGTTAAATAAAGGTTAAATAAAAAAATAAAAAAATTTTAAAAAACAACACAGCCACAATTTTAGGCAATGTGGATACCACAAAATTACATATGTAGGCTCCTGTTCATTAGACTTGCCTAATCTCGGTTATTGACGCAAACGGGTTTTTCTCATGAGGTAGATGATACAGGACAAGTCTGTCCTGAGAGTTGACATAAATTCACTATTTCCTCACCCATTTTCTCTCTCCCCCCCAGAATATGGATTGGAACGGACTACTGGCCAAGAAGGTTAAGCCTCCGTTCGTCCCGATCATCCAGGACTCCAACGATGTCAGCAACTTCGATGACGAATTTACCTCAGAAGCGCCCATCCTGACCCCGCCCAGAGAACCTAGGGCGCTCAGCGGGGACGAGCAGGACATGTTCTCTGACTTTGACTACATCGCAGACTGGTGTTAGCCCCCCCCCCCCCCCCCCTTCTCCCTCCTCAAAAACGCGTTGAACAAACACACAATTGTGAGCTACAGTCAGTCAGCGCTGTCTACAATTTTTTTAACGCCTCTTTTCCAAACCAACGTCGCAAGACAGGGGCACAAACGGCACTCTGCCATTTAAAGACCACCACCCAACTCCACAACTGAACCCCCTGGTTTATTTTTTAACTAAATTAGGAACATTTTGCTTCTCTTTAGAAACTTTGGGAAAAAGAGGAGGAAGGAGGCCTCCAGCGCATGTCGTGTCGATTGTCTGACCACTGAGAATGTTGTCAAGTGAACTCTGTCAAAGGAAATGCCGGCAACATAACAATCAATGTCACGGTTCGTTTTTTTGATCATGTACAGAATATTATTCCTCTGTATTTTTAACAAGTCATTTCGCAAGCCCTCTGCCATAACTAAATGACTTATCTCTCTGTAAGGGTTAACATGTCTGCCATGTTGTGTTACGAATGATGAGTGCTTTGAGCATTTTATCACTGAACCGTCACTTAAGGTAAAAGACAACAAACATCTTGACTACTACTGCCTCTTCACTTGAAACCCAAGGAAGGTCTCCTTTTTAGTTTCTCCCCACACTTTTTTAAAAGATGCCTTAAAATCTTCCTGTTTCTGCTACCAAAGCTTAGAGCTATGTCTACGAATAGAGCCCAGAAAAGCTTTCTTTTTAAACATATGATCATTACACAAAAGCAGTGCGTCCAGTGTTAGTCCTCATGGTATTACAGAAACTAAATCCCTCATGTACTGTGACCATGTCAGTTTTATATGAGCTTTAACTGTATTGTTTAAGGGTAATGTTTCTTTTTGTAGTGCTGTATGGTTGTTGAAATACAGTATAATTGAAGTGGTAGAACATTTCTAGACTACACAGCATACCACACGTCAAAGGAGACTGCACTGTTTTAAACGTGGTCATTTGGAAGGAGCACACACTACGGAGACCTATCTGACATGGCTCCTTCTGGTGGATTCCTAGCACCAAAAAGCAGTGGCCATATGTATCAAGCGTCTCGGAGTAAAGTGACGATTTAGGATCCGTTTTGCCTTTTGGATCAAAATACATATTTTTACATGGACAAGGGGACCTGATCCTAGATCAGTACTCTTACTCTGAGACCCTTGATATATATACGGCCCCAGATCTCATTCTTGAGGGATAACAATGCATTCAGCTAGCAATGTTTTACTCTTGTGTGTAGAATCAATTCCTCTAGCATTTCTAAAAGAGTTGGTCAGTTCCAATCGAATCAGAAAATGAATTTAGTATTTCTGTTGAATTTCCATTCACTCCCTAAATTGACTGAGTTGAAATGGAATTGATCCCAACTTTGATACTGCAATCATTCTCTTAACTGAAGAAGATACAAGAGCCAGAAGATCTCACAGCCTGCAAAGATTAGACTTGGTCAAAGGATGGATCTGAAGTGACTGATACAGTACAGCTGATTACCAAAACCCATCCCTCCAGTCCTGACAGTGGGACTATGGAAACCGTAATGACAGAGTGAACCTATGTGTAGGGAGAAGTTGCCTCTAGGTTAAAGTTAGGATTGGGGAAAGGGTAACCTAATCCTAGGGGAAACTACTCTGGAGCGTAAACTAAACTCAGTGCCAGTTTGTGCAGACAATATGTAAATTAATCACTACAGGGGAGGGCAGGGTATATTATATATATGTACACACAATTAAACTGAAAGCACTAATTTTATCAATATATTTTTTAATGATCTATGTTTAGCGTAATTATGAAAATAGATTGTACAGTTTTGGGGGGGCTGTTTGAGCATGTTACAAAGACAGACAAGCTTTCTTTATGGTACACGACATTGAAGTTACACAAGACTGTTGAACCTGGTGTAAAGAAGCATTTTGCAGTCGTCGTATGTCGCCTATCATGAATGCACAAATTAAACATTGTTAGAGTGGTGCTACTTCCTTTGCATATTGTATTCTATTGGTGTCAGCACATCACTTACAAAATTGCTGTCTTTGCTTTGAGAATCTCCCCAATAGAACTGGCCATCAACATACTATGGCAGTCCACTGTCCATCCATGACCCAGAGTATATATATATCTTACTGAATTCAGACCATAGAGAGACTCATCTTTATATCTGTGCCATTATAGCGTCTGTGACAGCAGACGGCAGCGCCATTCAGGCTACAACCCATAGGAATCTCCACGCAGGTGACTACGTTAAAATGGCGCTGCCCATGCTAAAACAGCCTTTTGGCCACTAGAGGCCTCTATCATTCTCTATAGCCCCCTTTATACCTGGTTCTAACATGCATCCTTTGTCCTGATCTTGTCCTCATTCTGATTGTGCCCAAATTTTTAGACAGGTGTAGGTGATTAAAAGACGCATTTTGATCAGATTGTGCTCTTCCTGACCACCCCAGGAGGTAGTCAGGCACGCATTGTGCCTTGATATCTTACAAGTGTAGACTGTTCTGGACAGTGAAACCTTTTACGTCATTATTCTGTCTTCTAAAATCATTGACAGGTGGCAACACTTATGGCATCAATATCGCTTAAAATAAATATTTTGAAAGAATGGCTGTTAAATAATTTGCATACGGGATGAACCAGGAAATCGTCAGAGGACGAATATGAGGCACATTTTAATATATTTCTGAATATATGGGCACAATCAGAATGTGGACAAAATCAGGACAAAGGATGCATGTTAACGCCAGGTATAAACGAGGCTTACGACTCAGACCAAGCTGGAGCTGGCTTTTGAGAAATAGCATGGAATTATACTGAACAAAAAATATCAAACATTTCAAGGATTTTACTGAGTTACAGTTCATATAAGGAAATCAGTCAATTTAAATAAATAAATTAGGCCCTAATCTATGGATTTCACATGGCTGGGCAGGGGTGCAGCCATGGGTGGGCCTGGGAGGGCATAGGCCCACCCACTTGGCAGCCAGGACCAGCCAATCGGAATTCGTTTTTTCCCACAAAGGGGCTTTATTAGATGGAAATACTCCTCAGCAGCCCCCCTCCCCCTCAGACGATCCCGCAGGTGAAGAAGCCGGATGTGGAGGTCCTGGGTTGGTGTGGTTACACGTGGTCTGCGGTTGTGAGGCCGGTTGGATGTACTGCCAAATTCTCTAAAACGACATTGGAGGTAGCTTATGGAAGAGAAATGAACATTCAATTATCTGGCAACACCTCTGGTGGACATTCATGCAGCCAGCATGACAATTGCATGCTCCCTCAAAACTTGAGACATCTGTGGCATTGTGTTGTGAGAAAACTGCACATTTTAAAGTGGCCTTTTGTCCCCAGCACAAGGTGCATCTGTGTAATGATCATGCTGTTTAATCAGCTTCTTGATATACCACCCCTGTCAAGTGGATGGATTATCTTGGCAAAAGGAGAAATGCTCACTAACAGGGATATAAACAAATGTGCACAACATTTGAGAAAAATATTTGAACATTTCTGGGATTATTTTTTTTTTTTCAGCTCATGAAACCAAGACTTTACATGTGTTTATATTTTTGTTCAGTGTAAGTGGATAACTAAAATGTGATCTGTCTTATAAGGATCTACACCTCTGGCAGAAGAGTAGTTGGCACTCATTTACCTTCATTAATCCAGGAGAAGCATTGAAAGCTAGTTCCCCTTATTAAGCTACAGTGTAACGTTCAGTTATGTTCAACTTTGCAAATACGTGATGTAATGAAAGCCAGATGACCTTTGACTCCCTTAGAATTAACTTTTTTTAAAGATGCAATGGTGTGTTGAACGCTTGCTTTAATTGCTATGCTAGGCCCACAACTGTACACCAGGCAGTGGGAATGAGACTAGCTGAAACTAGATAAACGTGTATGGCTGTCCTCAAAGGCCAGAGAGGTAGTGATCAATGTACTCAATGGTACATAAGCAGTATTAGCGTCAACACACAGAAAACTCATTCCGTAAACAAAGTTTAATGTTAACCAATGCATGAGGTGTTCAACATGCTTTTCAGAAAAGCATTTAATTGACTTAATACAAAGCAGACAAGCTAACAAAATAGAACCTGCATTTCCTACAAAAAGTGTATATAGTATGAAACCAGCATAATATTGCAAGCACCAATTACATTTTCTCACTTGGGACATATATACAGTATATATACACACTCAAATGAAATACTGTAAGTACAGTTTGCAATCTCATTTTTTAAGCATTGGAATGCGTGTCCTGTACTTGTCTGTATTCCTGCAAAAAGTACCTTCACAATGGCCCAAAGTCTTAAGTTAATTAACAAGGGAAAAAGAGGGGAAAAGATTGCAAATTGAATAAAAACTAAAAAGAGAACCCTTAAAGTGTCGTCGGGCAAGTGGGTCTTTACAGCTGGGGTAGTTTGTCCACAGGGGTGTGGAATTTGAAGTCCGGGGGGAAGAGGTCGGCGGCGCGGGGGTAGATGAGTCGGTACGACTGTCTGATTGTGACGTCTGCCACACCGGCGATGTCTCCAATCTCTGTCCAAAGGGTAGAGATTTGCAGAAATGACTACTGGTGCCTTAAGTCTTCAGACCATTGGTGATATACTTGTGTTCTCAGAACTATCAGAAATATGAGTTCCTGAACATTCAGAAACGGTTTGCTGAGCTGTCAAGTCAAGTGTGGACCACAAACGTCACACTGTTATTTGTACCTGAAATTTACTGAATCAGGTTTTAAAGTTTATAGACAAACACAAATAGTTCAGATTCAGCCCATAAAGAAGACCACCACACAAAGACAACCTACCACCAACTATCCCCACCATCCTCCCACCCACAACCTCACCTTTCTGGGTCTTTTTCTCAGCGGAGGCCTGGGAGGCCATGTAGATGGCGGCGGCGGCCACAGAGATGGGACTCCTGCCGGGCACCAGGTCCAGCTCCACGGCCTTCCGGGCGATGTAGGTGGCCGCCATCTGCACCTGCTTGGGCAGGCCCAGGTTGGAGCAGAAGCGGGACATGAAGTCTCCGGTGGTGATGAGGTCCACGCTGGTCTCCAGGGCCTTGAGGATCAGCTTGAAGCAGCGGCCGATCTCCTTCTTGGAGATGCGGGACACGGCGCAGATCTCTGCGGGGGATGGATGACAAGGGAGTCATTAGTGACACATCTTCAGGGTCGTTTTAATAAGACATGCAAGGGAGAACGTTTTAAAAAACGAAAATAAAATCCCTGTTTCAGTCAGTTTTCTTCCGTTTTGGTGCCTAATGAACATGATCCAGGAAACTTTCATAACCGTGAAGTCTTGACAACCAGCACTGACTAAGACGTTGCTTGGAACATGCTAATATGATCTTAAAACCATAGATGATACAGATGATTCGATATGTAATTCTATGCTCTAAACATCCTCGTTAGAGGAGCTCACCTTTAAACGTCCGAGGCACGCCCTCTTGTCTACAGGCGATGTAAAGGCAGGCTGATGCGATGGCGTCGTTGGCCCGCCCCTTCAGGCTCTTCTGCTCGTACACTTGCTTAAATAAGTTATTTGTTCGGTCCTGCGGGTCAAAGACAACAACATTTACTTCAGCGCAAACTCTCAGTTTGCTGTGAACATTCATATAGTTTTGTTAAGAGAAAACCTCATATTTAGAGTAACCTGCTAAATAACTTGAGTTTTGGAAATAGATTAATCAGTTAGCTAGCTAGCTACTAGGTTCCACAAAGCTAAACAAATAGAAGAGAGAATGGGACTCGCTATGATGTTCCTTGGTAGGTTGATCCGGTCGGCCATGGTGGTAATCTCTTTGAAGGCGTTTAGCATTGCGCGGTCTGAACTGCTCATGGTCCGCCGGTTCTGGTACTTGGAGTTGCCGAACTCGTCAAAACTAGCCGCGCCTGTTCCCTATGGTGACAACAGAATTGTTGGAACCATTAGTGATATAGACTTACTACCTGGTCAATCTTATGACAATGACGTCTCTTATGGAAATCAGAGAGATCTGTGGAACCTGATGAAGACCATGTCACACACAAAGGGGAGCAGACATTTTATTATTTTGTGGTCTGGCGCCCCACAGACCACAAACATAAACATAGGTTTAAGCATATTTCCCTGTAAATGGTGACTTTAGCCAGGTGGCAGGGCCTCTGTGCCAGTTGTGGTGTCAGGTAAGATGGCCAATGTGTGTACTTACCTTGCTGATCATGGTGGTCAAGTCTCCCCCGTTGAGGAGTGGGTTCTGGGCGTCGCCCACTCTGGACGGGTCTTTGGTGGCTTTCTCATTGGTGAAGGTCCTCCACTCTGAGCCCACGTCAATCACCCTGTCACCTGGGGAACCACACACATTACTACATGGGGCTAAGCTCAAATATGTTCAAACAGCTTTCTTTCCCCATTCACCCTACTTTATCTCCTTGAACAGTGAGCACTGACATGAATAGATAAAGGTAAAAGCGATAAACATCAAGCACCCACTGTATTGATTTCACCATTATAGAATAATGCTTTCACCAAGTAAGTCCTTCCTTTTGTGACAAGAAGAGATTAGGAAATTCAATATTAGAAAGGGAAGCAGTATTCAGTGTCACTGGGACCAGGGCCAACACTTCATAAATGTTTATGTAAATAAGAATAGTAACTAATTGTAATGATACAACCACGACACAAAATAACCAAATGTGCCAGTTGTGGCTTATCTACACTAACGTCTTCCCTTTGTTCCTGTCCCAGATTTGTATACACCCTGCACTTCCCAGACCAAGCCACAAGATGGTCTAATTCTCACTCAAGAAATAGACACTTTCCTTATATTTACTCTGGTTTATCGCCTCTTTCTGGGGCCTCATTTATAACCATTACGTAGATTTTACACTAAATATCTACGTGCGCCATTTCTGAAAAGATGACGCATGTACAAAAATATTGAGATTTGTAAACTTGGCGCACGTTTCCCGTTATAAACCAAACCTGTCAATTCAATTTGTACTGGACGTGTACACATATTTTGCAGATGTTATGACGGGTGTAGCGAAATGGTTATTTTCCTAGCTCCAACAGTGCAGTAATACCTAACAATACACCATAATCCAAAAAATAAAAAGGAATTAAAGGGATATTCCAAAAAATTTCTACTTCATAATCTCCAGCACCACCCCAACATATGTGAAAATTGCAAATTTCTAGGTTTTATAGTAAAAAAGATAAAATAAGTGTTTCCAATGACATCAGTTTGCATCGTGTGATTTGAACCAATTATGAGTAGGCATTACCTACTAATTGTCTACTAAATGGTTAAAGATATCATTGGAAACACTTATCTTCCTCTATCTTAGAAACATGCCATTTTAACACGATGTTGGGGTGGTGCTGGAGATTATGAATATGAAGTTGAAATTTCCCTTTAAGAAATATTGAAATATTACAACGAGCAATGTCAGAGTCCATAATATAAATAGATATGTATATGATTGTGTGTATAGACATGATGGACAGTATATGAATAGAAAAGTTGTGCACAGTAGTAGGACGATCGACTAGAACACAGTATATACATATGAAGTGGGTAAAACAGTATGTAAACATTATTAAAGTGACGTAAAACTGTGCGCGCGTGAACGAGCGTTATAACTCTGCCCGAAAAACGGTGACAATAACGCCCTTATTTGCTGTATACTTTGGAATTAGGACGAGATAACATCTAAAGGAAATAGCAATGGCGAACTTGATCAAATGTCTTTGGAGGTGTTGGCAGAATGTTTTCTTTTGAAGTAACATTTTCTGTAGCCTATCTGACCGTTTCTGAAAGACAAAAACAATTGCAAATTGTTGCGGATGGGTAAACAGATCGATTGAATTCAGTAATGTTTTGCATTTACTTTATCCCAAACCTTCATTGCATTAAGAAAGTATTCAGACCCCTTCTCCACATTTTGTTACATTACAGCCTTATTCTAAAATGGATTAAATAAATCAAAATGTCCTCATCTACACACAATACCCCATAATGACAATGCAAAAACAGGTTTTTCTAAATGTTTGCTAATTTATAAAAAATGTAAACAGAAATAAGAATTCAGACCCTTTGCTATGAGACTCGAAATTGAGCTCAGGTGCATCCTGTTTCCAATGATCATCATTGAGATGTTTCTACAACTTGATTGGAGTCCACCTGTGGTAAATTCAATTGATTGGACATGATTTGGAAAGGCACACACCCATTTATATAAAGGTCCCACAGTTGACAGTGCATGTCAGAGCAAAAACCAAGCCATGAGGTCGAAGGAATTGTCCGTAGAGCTCCGAGATAGGATTGTGTCGAGGTACAGATCTTGCAAAGGGTACCAAAAAATGTCTGCAGCATTGAAGGTGCCAAAAAACACAGTGGCCTCCATCATTCTTAAATGGAAGAAGTTTGGAACCACCACTCTTCCTAGAGCTGGCCGCCAGCCAAACTGAGCAATCGGGGGACAAGGGCCTTGGTCAGGGAGGTGACCAAGAACCCATTGGTCACTCTGACAGAGCTCCAGAGTTCCTCTGTGGAGATGGGAGAACTTCCAGAAGGACAACCATCTCTGCAGCACTCCACCAATCAGGCCTTTAGGTAGAGTGGCCAGACAGAAGCCACTCTTCAGTAAAAGGCACATGACAGCCCACTTGGAGTTTGCCAAAATGCATCTAAAGGACTCAGACCATGAGAAACAAGATTCTTTGTTCTGATGAAACCAATATTGAACTCTTTGGACTGAATGCCAAGTGTCACGTCTGGAGGAAACCTGGCACCATCCCTATGGTGAAGCATGGTGGTGGCAGCATAATGCTGGGGGGATGTTTTTCAGCGGCAGGGACTGGGAAACTAGTCAGGATCGAGGGAAAGATGAAAGCGGGAAAGTACAGAGAGAACCTTGATGAAAACCTGCTCCAGAGCACTCAGGACCTGACTGGGGCGAAGGTACACCTTCCAACAGGACAATTACCCTAAGCACACAGCCAAGACAACTCAGGAGTGGATTCGGGACAAGTCTCTGAATGTCATTGAGTGGCCCAGCCAGAGCCCGGACTTGAACCCAGTCTAACATCTCTGGAGAGACCTGAAAATAGCTGTGCAGCTATTTGACAAAGCTTGAGAGAATCTGCAGAGAAGAATGGGAGAAACTCCCCAAATACAGGTATGCGCCAAGCTTGTAGTGTCATACCCAAGAAGACTCAGGGCTGTAATCGCTGCCAAAGGTGCTTCAACAAAGTACTGAGTAAAGTGTCTGAATACTTATGTAAATGTCATATTTACGTTTAAAATTTTTAATACATTTGCAAAAAATTCTAAAAACCTGTCTTTGCTTTGTCATTATGGGGTATTGTGTGTAGATTGATGCGGAAAATTAACAATATAATCAATCTTAGAATAAGGCTGTAACGTAACAAAACGTGGAAATATTCAAGGGGTCTGAATACTTTCCGAATGCACTGTAAATAAAATGCAAATTCTTTCTGATTTTAGATGGATTTTCGCTCTTTTCACTAACGGCAAATGATTGCATCTTGTTATTATATTTATCTACCCTTTTTTTGTTATGAATAAGAGTGTCATCAAATATTCCTGCACAAGGCTACTTTTGCCTTGTTGAAATGCAATAATTCAACCACTAGAAACTACGCATACGCATGATCTAAAGTTTGCAGGAGGATAAGCACATTCTCACGGCAAGTTCTGTTTTTATAAATGCCAATTTTTGCATGAAAACTAGCGCCTGCATGTTTTGGGGCCTATTTTGTGCGTACGTAACGTTTATAAATTAGGCCCTGGAAACTAGCAGGGTCAGGGATTTGATTTTTTGCCTTAATCCAATGAGCCCTTTCCATACATAAATCATGCTAATATCCAGCACTAAATTGACGTTCATCTCCTTATGGCACAGCAAAGCGATGGGATACAATCTAGCTTTACATCATTACTGAATCGTCCGTCTTACCCACTATGTCCCCATATAATTAGCCAAGTGTTTCCTATGGGTCTCATAATGGGAGACCTGCTATGTTACGTTCAGATAGAGCCCTGTAATGCTATCTGTTGCTCTAACTAGGGTGGCTTTCCAAGGCCATCTAAGGAAGGTGTGGACAGATTTGATTCTATTGTATCTTTGAGCGGATGTTATATTCTATGATTTCCTGGTATTATGCACTCTAGCTATGTGACAGGTCTGACATGTCTTTAGTGTAAAGTCCTACTCCAGTCTCCTTTTCACCTCATTTAACATTTACATTTTAGTCATTTAGCAGACGCTCTTATCCAGAGCGACTTACATGAGCAATTAGGGTTAAGTGCCTTGCTTAAGGGCACATCGACAGATTTTTCACCTAGTCGGCTCGGGGATTAGAACCAGCGACCTTTCGGTTACTGGCACAACGCTCTTACCCACTAAGCTACCTGCCGCCCTACACCTGATTACTTAACAAAAGGCACATCTCAATAAGTGGTCCAGGTATCCTCATGACATGACATAAGAGGGGGACCTTCCCTCTTTTGTTCTCTATTGTTCCTCAAGCAAGGTGGGAGGCTGATGACATCACAAAGTCCCCATCAGACCAACTCCTTGAATGCCCTACTCGAAGTTTGCAGTAGTCAAAAAAAAAAAACACTATTTTGCTCAAAACATATTTTTGTACCCGTTAGTGTGTGTACTTTACCGTATTTATACTTGGGATAAACCTTTTCAACAGGAAGTGCAAAAATCGCTGGAGGACATCTGTAAGAGCCTTGCTGCTCAAGTCACATGTCATAATACCAGCACAAACACATCACTCCCCCTGAACTAGAGGTTAGGACTGTGTCTATAGAAGTGTAGGCCCAGCAGTTTCAAGTTTTAATGTCACGTGCACAAGTACAGTGAAATGCCTTCCTTGCGAGCTCTAAACCCAACAATGCAGTGATCAATATCAATGTAGTACAAAAAATTACATAAAAGAAAACACAATAAAAAAATATATATATAATAAGAACACGAGAAAGTAAGACTCTATACAGGGTCAATCCCAATACCATATTTACAATGTGCAGGAATACTGGAGTAAAAGAGGTAGATCTGTATAGGGGTAAGGTGACTAGGCATCAGGATGTATGATAAACAGAGTAGCAGCAGCGTAATTGAAGAAATAAAAATGCATACAAGGGTCAACTCAAGGGTTAGCTATTTAGCCGTCTTACGGCTTGGCAATGAAGCTGTTCAGGAGCCTGTTGGTGTCGCACTGATGCACCGGTACCACTTGCTGTTGCCATACCAAGCAGTGATGCAGCCAGTCAAGATGCTCTCGATGGTGCAGCTGTAGAACTTTAAGGATTTGAGGGCCCATGCCAAACTTCCTGAGGGGGAAGAGCCACTGTCGCGCCGTCTTCACGACTGTGCGCTTGAACCATTTTAAGTCCTCAGTGATTTGGACGCAGAGGAACTTGAAGCTTTCGACCCGCTCCATTGCAGCCCTGTCGATGTGGATGGGGGCGTGCTCGCCCCCCGGTTTCCTGTAGTTCACGATCAGCTCCTTGGTGACTTTGAGGGAGAGGTTGTTGTCCCGGCACCACACTGCCAGGTCACTGACCTCCTGATCAGGCCTACCACCACCGTCGTGTCGTCAGCAAACTTGATGGTATTGGAGCCGTGCGTGGCCACGCAATCGTGGGTGAACAGGGGGTGTTGAGGGTCAGCGTGGCGGAGGTGATGTTGCCTACCCTCACTATCTGAGGTCGGCCCATCAGGAAGTCCAGGATCCAGTTGCAGAGGGAGGTGTTCAGTCCCAGGGTCCTAAGCTTGGTGATGAGCTTGGAGGGGACAATAGTGTTGAACACTGAGCTGTAGTCAATTAACAGCATTCTCACATAGGTATTCCTCTTATCTAGGTGGGTGAGGGCAGTGTGGCGTGCAATTGAGATTGTGTCGTCAATGGATATGTTGGGGCAGTATGCAAAATGGAGAGGGTCTAGGGTGTCTGGGATGATTGAGTTATTGTGTGCCATAACCAGCCTTTCAAAGCAATTCATGATTACAGATGTGAGTGCTACAGGGCGGTAGTCATTGTAGCATGAAGCCTTAGAGTTCTTGGGAACAGGAATGATGGTGGTCATCTTAAAACATGTGGGGATTACAGACTGGGACAAGGAGAGGTTGAAAATTACTGTGAATATGTCTGCCAGCTGATCTGCACATGCTCTGAGAATGCGCCCTGGAATACTGTCCGGCCCCGCGGCCTTGCGAGTGTTGACCTGATTAAAGACCTTACTTCGACCTCGGAGAGCGAGGTCACCCATTCCTCTGGGTCGGTGGTGGCCCTCACACCAGGCATGATGTTGTTATTGTCGAAGCATGCATAAAATGCGTTGAGTTCGTCTGGTAGAGAGGCATCGTTGGGCAGATCATGGCTGGGTCTTCCTTTGTAATCCGTAATGGACTGTAGCCCCTGCCACATGCGGCGGGCATCGGAGCCCATGTAATTTGATTCCACCTTATTCCTATATTGTCCTTTTGCTCGTTTGATGACTAAGGAGGTTCTAGGGGACTTTTTGTACTTGTTCCTGTCCTCAGCCGTAGTCTCAGGGTTCTCTGCGATGGCTCTGTGTGCAGTAGTCCTGTCCTTTAGTTTAGCGCCAACCTCTGTGTTAATTAAGGTATTTTGATTGGGGAAGCAGCAAACCTTCACTGTGGGAACAACGTCGACGAAGCATTTCCTTATGAAGCCGGTGACAGAGGTGGTTAGCTCATCGATGTTATAGGCAAAGTATCTGAACATATTCCAATCAGAGCTAGCAAAGCAATCCTGTAGCATAATCTCTGATTCTGATTACCATTTCTCAATGGAGTGAGTCACGGGTACTGTTTGAGCTTCTGCTTGTAAACAGGAAGCAGGAGTCATGATCTGATTTGCCGAATGGCAAACAAGTGAGGGCCTTGTATGCTTGCTTGTGGGTAGAGTAACAGTGGTCTAGGACTATCGCCCCTAGTGGCAAAGGAGACATGTTGATGGAAGTTGGGCATCACGTCTTAATGACGCAGAATTAAAATCTCCAGCGACAAGGCAGCCAGCCTCTGGCGGTTTCTCTTGGGTACCCCGAAAATTGGGTCGGATTTACAGAACGAGCCCAGGGCAGATGTAACTGCTGATCAGATGTTCAAAAGTTATTGTCGGTTATAAGAAATGACAGCGGATTCGAGAAAATAAAGTAAAAATAAACACCAAAAGAACCACAAAATAGCAAAGTTGGGTCGGAGCTTGCAGAACGGCTGCCATCCAGTATGGGGCCATCTTGTACATCAGGCCTCTGTATGTTATGTTACGCTATATACCTACTGCAAAGACTTCTCCTCCCTACAGATAAGGCTTTGTGTCAGTCTGTTGCAAGTATTTCGCTACACCCGCAATAACATCTGCTAAATATGTGTATGTGACCAATCAAACGTAATTTGTGTTTCCCACAGCGACAAAGGCTATTTTAAGCTTAGGGGTTAGGCTTACAATAAAGGTTAGGTTTAGGGGTTAAGGTTAGGTTTAGGGAACATAGGATTTTGAATGGAAATACATTTTAGGACCCCACAAAAACATATGCTGTGTGTGTGCGTGTTTCAGCCTATCACTCACCCACTACAAGGCCACACTCAGGGCAGATCATGTCCCCTGCTCTGTAGTCTTCCACCAGCATGGCATCTGGGTGGTTGGGGCACTGCACCTTGGGAAGGGCCAGGGCGTCTCCACTGCAAGTAAAGAATACATCCCAGAGGTCAGCCAACAGTGTCCTCTTACCTTTGACCCTGCCTAGTGAGAGTTAACCCAGCACTGGGTGTGATTGTACTTATTTCCATAAAGCTGGTTTACAGCCAAGAATATGGTATTGGTTTACTTAACGCTATACACTTAAAGCCGATTGACACTGCTCAAGGTGAGCAAGTATGTTGTTTAGTGAATTGGCAAATGATGATAATAGGGAAATCTTATAGCCTTTATTAAAATTGTACATAAATTGTTAAGCATGTCAGACTGTCTTTCCCTAAATCTGAGAAATATGAGGAATATATTTACCTTTAATAATATAAAAACAAAAGGCACTTCTGAAAATTACATGTTGCAAAAGCAATTCTGGTTGCTTGTTTTACAACAGTAACTGCTCTCAAGCATCAACACCATAGTCAATGTTACTTGTTTATTGATCGAATATGTATATGCATACCAAGGTAAATGGACTGGGAAGTAGGCCTACTTCAAACCTAGTACAGAAAAGCCACTGCAAAGACTGTGTCAACTTAATGTAGATGATTATGATTCAGTGGCATTGTGGCCAAAAAGCTTTCGACAATGGGACCCATAAAATGGCATTCCAGCGTTTCACAAAGTTATCCTCGACACCAATTCGATTCTACAATACCAAAACATAACCCATTTAGCTAACTAGTTAGCTAACGGACTTGGTGCTGCGTCAACAGTCAATTTCTCTTCGTTTGGGCAAGTGTAAACAAGCTATTTTGTGCTAGCCAGTGGAATAAATTGCTGGTAAAACAACCAAATCAACTTGCCGTGTCCTTGTGACAATTATCAATACAATGGCTGAATAATTTGTCATGATTAAATCACTGTCACGGTGTGCGTTGAGACTCGGCTACTGTAAAAACATTAATGTAGCTACCTAATTGGATTTAGCCAGCTGAGCTGGCCCGACGACATCACCTTGCGACATCACACATTCCTTTCAAAACATGAAATTGCTTATTGACACTCGCATCTGCGTCATGATTTGTACGTTAGATATAATGTTGCGCTACCTATATCGGATGCATACAAACAATATGATCATTGACATGATATACGACCGAGACAATGTGTCCAACTGTGATTTGATAGTGTTTTCTGTTAGGCTAGCGAAGGTTAGCTAACAGTCAGTAATGGACATTCCGGCGGCTATGACGGAAAACACTTAGAAACAATGGTCTCTCCGTGTTGATCGCAATCACCACTCATTGTTCAATAACTTTCACTTTCCCACATGAAAGCATAATAACACAGAAAACATAGCTTGGAATACATATTGTACACACCGGCTCGTCGACGCCATGTTGCAAACTACTTCTTTATGTTTCGAACAATAGCTTATTCTACCTCTATATATGTCCTTTTCGGCTCACGTGTTTACATGACGACGGAAGGGTAAAAGGCTCAAACTTCAAACAGCGATTCAAATATGAGGACTGAATGTAGGCTACTAAAAAGGCGGATTGTACTGTTACGGAACAATGCTTTTGACATTTCAAAATTGAGAAAATGATTATCATTATCAAATGAAACCCTATGACGTCCTAACCGTGTCACCTCTAGTCACTGAGCGTATCCTTGAAGTGAATAAAGAGAATCAAGTGTAACCAAAAGGCAAAACTATTTAAACAAACGTGTGGATTTTTGTGTGTTTGTGTCTCTCAAACTTTATAAAGAAAAAGTAATCTTATTATTACATGCTTGCTTATTTTTGCAATAAATACTAGCCAACACCTCTGCAAGCTGGGCAGCTGGAACAAATCCCCCAGCCCTGCTCCCATCAGAGGGTAATATTTCCACTTGCCAGCCACTAAAGAAAAAAAGCACTTACATGGTGGGTTATGTGTACCGTGTAGCCTACATGGGAAAACATAATTGGAAAACATGTTCAAGCAGCAATGGTAGTGGCATAACCCTACTTAACCCCATTCAACAAACTGACTCAACTCTAAGCAGCCAATACTGCAGGCTCACTTGTTAGAGCCGTAGCAGACAGGCCTGTTTGTGAAGCTGTCAGAGATGGCATTGTCTCTGTGTGCCAGTCTGTGACTGTATTGCCTTGATTCTCCCTCACCAACACACCCCCTGTACTATTGACCTCAAAATCTCTGGTTGGACAACCACCACACAATGAGTCATTGGCCAGACATCCATTGACAGAGAATTGAAAGAGAAATTAAATGTTTCACAAATAATTTATGACTGTATCACATTGACTGTGGCATGCACCTTGAGCTATTTGGATTACATTGATTAATGGATCACATTACCATAAATAAACAAGCCTTGTCAGCAGCAGATATTTTATTCAATTGCACATTGCCCAATGACGTTGAAGACTAGTAGGAAGTGAATATAATTATTCTCCTTTTACCTGTAAGACAACAGCAGGTGGAGCTAAATCCAAAAATGTCAGATACGGCCATTATCTAAAAGCTCTTTCAGGCTTTCAAATGCTAAATACTCAATCACATTATTATTGTACTAAAGTCTCATGATGAATTAACATACAACATTAATTTATATCAATTATGTCAAGATTAATTCCTCTGAGATTCTCAAAGGAAAGGCGTTGCTGACACCTGCCAGATCTTACAACGCCAGGACTCCTGGTTATGCATTTTACATATCAGCTAAGCACATCTTATTGTTTATGTGCTAGTCGGAACTAGTGCCGCGATCAACCAGTGAACAAGTTGGAAATGTCAGAGTTTCCTAGTTCCGACTAGCACGTGAACGCGGCATTTGTTATAGCAATCTGTCAGTCGATGACACAGTCAATGACGTGGCACGCAACCATTGGTTGATGCATGCAACACACTAGTACACATTAGTGACACACTAGTGATGATGTCACACTAGTGACGATGCGTCATGCTGGTGAGCAATCTCATCCAACTGTTGCTAATGCTGCCAGCACTGTGTGGTGTGAGTCCCTGAGTCCCATCTGAGGGACCTCTGTTTGATCCTCTGCCCATAGCCACAGCAGCACAACGGTTATGATCTCATCTGCACTGATAAACACAAACAACAATCTCAATGAGTCACACAGAACACCATAAAAACAATGTGTAGTTTACAGGTAGACAGTACATGTTCTAACCAGTGGAGGCTGCTGAGGGGAGGACGACTCATAATAATGTCCAGAATGGAGTAAATGGAATGATATCAAACACATCATGTGTTTGATAGAATTCCACTCACTCCATTCCAGCCATTATATTGCATTGCAGCCATTATTATGAGCCGTCCTCCCCTCAGCAGCCTCCACTGGTTCTTACATCAGCCTACATCAACTGACTGTTCCTCACCTGAGCACCCCCCAGGCTGTTGACATTCTTTATCAGCCTTGATTACTGATTCAGACTGTCTGAGGCAGCCTCATTCGAACAACATGAATATGCACAGACATATCAGTCACCGTGAATACAGGGCTGTAGCTGTAGTCACTTAGTGTTATTACTAATCATATTACAATCTGGTATACTGGGATTAGAGACATGTTATACTGGGATTGGGGACATGTTGTGCTTACTAGTCATTCATTGTCATGGAAAGAGGTGTGTCTGAGATTGTGTTTGCATCTGGGAAGTTCATGCAAATTCAGGAGGGATTAGGCTACTAACTAGGTAGTTATCATGATTGCACTTTCCAGACAGCACATCAAAATCATGAACTGTTATGATTGCCTCAGGTGTTCCTGAAAGGATGATGGGTGTAGGGTGTTGTTGTATGGGATTTTCTTTGTTAAGGGAAGGAGGGATCTCTAGCTTTTGAGTAATTGACTGTGTATTCAGCCCTTTGTCAACAAAATGACCTGGTTGCTAAGGACATGTGGTGGGTACGTCTGTTCATCTGTTGCCACCCCTGGGGGCCGGTCCTTATTACACGACGGCTCCACCCAGTCCCCATTGCTGTGACCACGACCACAACCCTGTATGCAAAATTTCCTTTTGTAGGATAGCCAGAGGCAAAGTCATGAATATTCACGTATTTTACGTATTAGCAAACCACATCATATGTTATAGCAATCTGTCAGTGGATGACAGAGTCAATGATGTGGCACGCAATCATTGGCTAATGCATGCAATATCTGAGCAGGGGAACGCAACCTTTAGCTTGCTTGCCGGCATGAGCAGTGAGCACTGAACAATTTGGGAAACCCAGCATCAGCTTAATCAATTGGGAAATAAATGAAAGCCTCACCAGCTAGCTACCAATTTATTTTTGTTTCACTGTCCGATCATTCATAAAATGAGTCCACTTATTGTTATTAGTTATTATTATTTAACAGCTGAGGTGACTCAAACCCTGTAGCTAGCTAACAAGCCCTCCTCGGCGACAATGTTATTAGGGTGCGGGAATATTATACTGTATATGTCTTTTAATTTCAAGATAACTGTCATTGAAGTTGGTGGTTACTACTGTTTTTTTCTGTGTTTTGGTAAGGGCTCGAAGGAATATCATGCACCCAAGAAGGCTCAACCAATCACCCGATGGAAAATAATGACTTTGCCTCCGGCTATCCTACGAAATGAAATTTCGCACCCTGCATGAACGCTCCCCCTCGAGCATCCCATTGGTTCCTGCATGAATGCCCCCCCTCGAGCGCGCCATCTTCATGCTTGTGTGACACTTTTGATATTCTGGATTTCCCCTGATTGTCTATGTGGGTCAAAAGGGAAATAAAAGTATTATCACTGTCTACCAGTGTCCTAGCTAGCTAGCTACCGGTGTTGCCCCCGCCCGTCTGCTGTGTACCTCCTAGCTAGCTAGCACACAGTGTCCTTCACTCCCGCCTGCAAACACCTGCCCTCGTTAACAGAACTACAGGAAAGCAGTGCCGAAGGACAATGTCTACAGGCGACCTAGCTAGCTAGTAAGTAGCCTTGCACGAGCCTTGGCTTGTGCGAGCCGGTACGGCTCATAGGGCAGGAGCCTATCTCCTGTTTCTGTAGCACGAGGCAGCTTGATGTAAAAGTACAAGTACACCCCCTGGACAGGACACTAGTCTATTACAGGGCCTTACCCCCAATCTATCTCCTTCATGTTGATTAGCAAGCAGAGATGCATCAGTTCCCATTTTTACAGTCTTTGGTATGACTCGGCCAGAGACTGAACTCACAACCTTCCAATCTCAGGGCGGACACTCTAACCACAAGGCCACTGAGTTGGTCCTAGCTAGCTACCTGCTGTGTACTGGAGTCCTAGCTAGCTAGCATACAGTGTCCTTCGCTAAACCCCTGCCGAACACCTGCTGCTCTTGCCATCTTTAACCGAACTGCGGGAAAACGGTGCCCGACAGGCGGGGGCGAAGGACACTGCCTACCGTTGTCCCAGCTAGATATATACGGTTATCGCCCCTGCCTCTTCTTTATCGGCGGTTGGCATCCAACGTTATGGTGCATTACCGCCACCTACCATATGTACCGGAGTCCTAGCTTGAAAATGTACCAATAGAAGTATAAAGAGGGGTTCCTGGAGATGCAGGAATGCCCACATGCAGGAACGCCCCGAATTGCGGTCCGCAATTGCACCCTTCTCGGCTAGTGACCAATCCTCAAAAAGGGCTTTTGTTTTTGAGATACCCCTACCCGAGGTAGAACAAAACACAACCATGTTTTTTCACATCTCTAATGTCTCCCATTTCTGTAATGGATGATCGTGAATACATATTTTACTGCAAAAGTGGTTAAATTGATAGATATTGTGACACACCCCCTAAACTCAAAACGTGCAGAATAATGCATGGTTGGAGGGGGGTGGGCCACATAAGCTCATGTAACCCAATATTACATGCTCTGATACTGCAGAAAATTGCAATACAAGTAGTCAGTTATCTGCCCTACATACACAAACAAACAGAATTAGGATATCTTAATGCATCTTGGAAATATAGACCTGTAAACACAAAGATACAACAGGCGGAAATATAAACTATGAATATACTGTATATGATGAATGTAAGCTTGACTTTTTGGTAGCTGATTAATAGACAACTTTCCAAGTCAAATGTGCTCTCATTCAGTGGTGTATGTGTCACGGATCCCCCGGTACTGCTGCTCATTCCATTCACCAGCTCCGGAGGTCTACCACACCGGCCTTCTAGGCGTCACTGACCTGATTCATTACCATCAACCCCCGAATGTCTTGTCTCATTACGCACACCTGGTTCCCATTCCCCCTGATTAGTATGTGTATATATGTGCCCTCTGTTCCCCACTGTCGATTATTGGCCCATGTCCGTTGGTGTCGTGAGTCCCGTGTATTGTGCGGGTTAGGGTTACTCCTCGCTCTTTTGTTTGGGTTACATCCCAGTGTTATATATATATATATATATATATATATATACACGTGTTTGTTTTGGGCTTCGTCCCCGTCGTTTTT